GTTGGGCTGGCTGGAGGAGGTCCCGGATCTAGCGCACGCTCAGGCACGCTGGGGTGATCGACTGGCGGTCGGGCGAGTCAACGTTGGTACGCGCCGAAGGGCGCAACTCGGCTCGTGGTTGACAACACAGTGTGTGGCACCAATGATGCTTGCGCCATCAACGAGTCATACTCACTGCCTATGCTTTCCTCGGTACGACACTCCTTTCCCATGCGTGATTTCGCAGGAACTGCCAGTGCTTTCTCTATCAACATTGAGGCAGCGCGCAAAACAGTTCGCGTGCGAGAACAAGATCGTGGCCTCCTGGGTCTCCACACACAATTTCCGGGGCAACCAGCCCGGTACTACTTTTACAAAGTTTGCCCGTTTGGGGCTGTTTTTCTCAGCCCTTTGGTTTGCCAGGGTCGGGGCTCTCCTTGTTCGTGTTCTTCACATGCTGATTTGGATTCGCCACATGATCGGCATGTACGTGGGCGACCCACGGATGAACAGGCAGTATACATGGTGGCCACGCTTACCCTGCCTTTCTGCGATATTTTTGGCTTCCCTATTTCCTGGCGCAAGGTTCAGATTGGGCACAATATTGATTGGATTGGCTGGTCATTTCACTTTCGCGCAGGTGCGGTTTCGGTTCCCTAGCAAGCGCCAGAAGCTCTGCGCGGGCATACAGCACCTCCTTTCCAGTGACCAGGACCTCCACCCGGTCATTGGCTTGCTTCAGTGGTTATGCCAGCTATACCCTTCTTCGCGTCCATGGATGTGTTCCCTTTATTCTGACCTTCACACGCCTCTGCGATTGGCCGGCATTGATACAGCATCTCGCAGCCGACCTACATTTTACCTCATCTCCACGAGGTACAGCCATTTCCAAGGGGGCCAAGCTTCTTTCAGTGCGACACAGGCAGTCCGACATGGGAACCATCAAAGGCGGGTCCTGTGCCCAGCGAAGCCAGTAGCGAAGCAGGCTGCGACTTGGGTCTGATAGCTTGCGCCTAGAGTTTGCGGGATCGGCGACACGTATCCAGATTCGGCGCGCAGTAACTGGATTACTTTGCTATTGGTGGTTTTCTGGAAATTCCGGGCAAGGGTTACCTTTGGTTTAGCGAGAAATGGTCCGTGCAAGACCTTTCATTTACTGGGCTGGAACTTTCCAACAAAGCCCAGTCGTACATTGCTTCCTTCGAAGCCCTGGCACAGATCGCCTTGCTTCACGTCCTGACAGCTGCGTTACCGGGCGGCCGAATGCGAGTGCGTATTAAGTCCTGGTCCGACAATACGGGGGCTGAGAGCGCCAGCAACCGCCTTTACACAAACAAGTACCCCCTCAACATGTTTGTTCAGAGGCTTTCACTTTTCAGCTGCTATTCGGGAGTATCCTTGGATGTTTCCCATATTCCTGGTGAACTTAATGAGGACGCAGATATGCTTTCCAGGTGGTCTTGCCAAGCTGCCCGACCGCTTGCCTCTCAGCCGGCGCATTTTTCTGGATCTTGAGCAGCTCTGGTTTCGGCGCCAATCAGTGACGCTTTGGCCATCGGAGGTTCGTCTCCCGTGGCGCATACCGATGAACGACTTTTTCATGTAGCTCCCTTAGCTAGCTTTGCTTTGTTCAAATTGCCAAACCTCACAGTTCCATTTGGGCTTCCGTGGGCAAGGTTTGCTTTCCTCTGGCAGTTTTCAAGGGGGTGATACAGCTGTGCTTTTGGTTTGGCTGACAGACCCAAACTCTACAGCTTCCGCCAGTTGGAAAACAAACCCAACTCAAATAAATGAGGATATATATATATATATATATCCATATATGTTTGCTTATGGTTTGGCAATTGAAGATGCCTCGAATATGCATGTATGAATGCAATGCAGTCTGTAGACCATTTTGCATTGGCTGTTGCTTGGAAAGTTTGAACGGTTAGTGTGTTTACTCACTGTTGTTTCAACTTGACAACATACGCCACTTGGGCTCAAGCAACAGCCAGCACACATGCTTAGCTTACTGGACCAGCTTGCATTTTCAACCCCTCCCTCCACTTCCCTTTGTTGATAAGGCCCGTTTTCTTTGCGGGGGGCGTGCTTTTCTTTGAGGATCCCCTTCTCAAACGTGCTTGGCAAGCGGGTCCGTCGCTCACCTTTTGCTTTACGGTCATCCTCAAAGAGGATGGTAGCGTCTCTACTCCGTTTGGACATGACTGATGTCCAGCAGTGCATCGTGACCACTGCAAGCACAGCCAACCCGGTCGGCAGTGCCTCGTACCATTTCCTATCTGGCTTCCTCGTTTGCGCAGCTTTCGCATATGGCTTTCTATTGTGGCAGATGAGACGAGCACGCATTTCTCTGCGCAATGAGGTCCTTCTTACTTTGGACACGCGGCTGCAGGAGCTTCACGACACATGTCTGCAGTTGCGCGATGATGTTGATCAATGCGGGGTGGCCCTTGATGCTTTGCGGTCAGCCAGGCAACGTTCAGACGACAGTATTGCTTCGCTTTCGCATGTGACTGGATGGCAGCTATCCGCGCATCACGCGCAGCTTGACCGCCTGGAGCGCTACGTTATTGCAGATTTTTACGACACCGCTCCTGTGGAGCAGCCAGCATATGAGGAAGCCTTTTCTGGCACTGGCTTTCGCCTTCCCATGAGCCCGCCGCGCTAGCGTGTGAGCCGCGGCGGGCCGTTTTTGCGGCAGAGCCATTTTAGCATAGGAACCTTTTTGCGTTTTTGCCGCTTCTTGTACAGCTTTGCTTCCCAACGCGGGGGTGATACAGCTGTGCTTTTGGTTTGGCTGACAGACCCAAACTCTACAGCTTCCGCCAGTTGGAAAATAAACCCAACTCAAATAAATGAGGATATATATATATATATCCATATATGTTTGCTTATGGTTTGGCAATTGACCGGTGACAAGCGGTGACATACCAGTGACAAGGGTGACAAGCTTGGCAGGCTGCCCCTGGCATCCAAAAACACCCTTGTCCAGATCCATTGGCTCAGTGGGCAAGCTCGGTCTCTGCGATTTGAGGATTCCGGGGCTTGAATCCCGGGGGGTGACAAAACGGTGACATCGACGCATGCCGAAAAACCGTGCCGCCCTGCAAAACCGGCTGTCACATAAAGGGCGACATGCCGGTGACAAGGGGTGACAAGCTCGGCAGGCTGCGTTTTTCCACCCAAAAGTGCCCGGTGACAAGCGGGGACATACCGGTGACAAGGGTGACAAGCTCGACCTTACCTTTGCCCATTAATGAACCAATATTGCTCATTAATGAATCAATATTGACTCAATATTGCCGTGATTTTGAGCCCTGGAAGCCTCCAGAACCGTCTCTGAGCGAAAAGAACGGTCTTTAGGAATTCAGGAAATTGGCCGTTTTGTACACTTTTTCGGCCCAAAAGCTAGGGGTGACAAGGGGTGACAAATGGCGTGTCAGGACCCTTCGCTTGGCCGAAAACACAAATTTCTACCTTACTACTTTCGGACCGAAAAGAACGAGGTCTTCGGGAATTCGGGAAATTGGCCGTTTAGCGCCCTTTTTTCAGCCCAAAAGCTAAGGGTGACAAAGCGGTGACAAAGGGTGACAAGCTCGGCAGGATGGATCTTGGCAGCTTTTTCGGGCCAAACACGGAAATCGATAGGGGCGTACGTGTCAGGAGCCTGTTTTTGGCCAAAAACGCGCAAATCGATAGGCCTATGCCCCTTACTTGCTGTCTGACCAAAAAGAACGAGGTTTTCAGGAATTCGGGAAGTTGGCCGTTTTGTGCACTTTTTCCACCCAAAAAGTAGGGGTGACATAGGGGTGACTTCTTTGGTGACAAGATCGGCGGGATGAAAAAAAGTTGTTTTGGCAGCTTTTTCGGGCCAAAACCGGATTCTTTTATGGTACTATAAGCTGATGTTCCTTACTACTAGCGCACCTTTTGTCGGTCGTACTCTTTTGTCTTTTGATGCATGTTTTCTTACGGCTTGAAGCAGTGATCAAGATTCTAGCTGATTTATCTGTCTGCTTTCTCGGAGTTGAAGCCGGTGACAAAATTGCATCGGTGCGGGGTCTTTAAAGCGCCTCGACCGAGACGATACCAAGAACCGACCAGCACGTTTTTGGGTCCGTTCGCAGCTCGGATGAGGGTCGTCAGACCAGCACATCGATTAGTTTCGAGCCCGGGGGGCACGGTGTTCTTGCACGTTGGAACCGCTTGGTCTTGTTGGTACTGGGGGGCTCTTTGCCGGGCACGAGCTTCGCCAAATTCACAGCTGCTGCTTGTTCAGATTAAGTCACGAAAACTGAGTTGGCCAGTTTGTCAGTGTATCCTCGAGAACTTGGCTGGAAGTGTTTGCACTTTGGACTGTGCAACTCTGGTTGGGAAGGACCTTTGCGAGCTTCCGGAAAAGATGGCACAACACTTTGACGCGCAGTCAGAGCAAGAAAGAACAAGTTATACAGTCGCGAAAGAAATGAACGTGGCAAAAACATAACGTACAGTGAGATGTGATTGATAGTCGTGTGAGACAGTGATGTTGTCAGTGAACTGAGCGTGGGTGATGTGATTGAACTGAAACAGTGTCTTTGAGTTGTGTTCAACACGAACTGGAACTCCCACCCAGCTCACCCAAGGTCGGGATTATGTCACACGCCCCAATTTTGTGTGTTCATCTTTCACTTGAACCCCCTGGTTGATTGACACAATTGTCCCACGATCCGACACTTCTGGGGGTTGGCGCCGGTCACTTTCTTCGCCGCAGAGGTTGAGCTCCAGCCTCGCTGCGGCTCCTTGGATTGACATGCAAAAAACGGTCACAACCCACATGGGGGTAAATAACAACCTTTGTGTACTTGTGTATGTTCATGTACAGTGATATGTGCGCAAACCGCACACACACACACACACATGCGAGCATGCGAGCATGTACATGCACATGCGCATGCACGTGCACATGCTCACATCCAGCATATATCCATGAAAACAACACATATGTACACACCTTGATTCATTTGCCGTTACTGTGGAGACACAGAATGTCGGCAAGAAGCACCACGTTGCATGGTGGCGTGTTGCCCTTGCAACACAATCTGACATGTTGATGAGATCCTGATGGGAAAGGACAAGCAGGACGGGTGCAGTTGTCTGACTTCCTGAGAGCCGTGGTCATATTTCCGTGCGACCCTGGCATTTGAATTGGTTGGCTTAAAGTCCGCATGTTTTTTTTAGAGTGAAAATCTGCGCAACCTTGGTAAAACAATGAAGTCGACTGCATGAATTGCACGAAGGATGAGTGGGAGCTGCTCGAAAGGTTATCCGCTGCGACCTGAGGATGCAATCAAAACCGATTCGGGCAAGTGAAGGTTAGCAAGGGACAATCTCCTTGCTATAAATAGCTGCGGATATCCGCCTTCATAATTCTTGAAGCATGGTTCTGGGATTAGGACCATTTTAATGCCAGGTTTTGATTATGACTCACCTGAGGATTCAAACGAGTGGCTGGCTCTGGCGTGCGGCCATGACAGCCTGTTTTGGTCGTTCCAAACTAGCAAGATTTCCATGGTGGCTTGGAGAGCTAGGTGCGACAGGCGCAGTAGATGCGCCTGGATAGGGTTCTGCGATCACGTGGACGAACGGCGGAGCCCTCCCGTTTCCCGGTCTGAAGCCGAAGGCGATTTCCCGGGGCTTGTTTTGGACCAAAGCCAAGGGCCCGCAATTCCAACATGGGAGCCCTTCGTTTCATGTCTTCCTCTTTCGCTCTGAATTGACCCGAAACGGGGGAAGCCCAGCTTAAGAAACATGAAGGTACACTGAGACAGCGAGGAAAGGTGTGTATGAAGGTGCCTATATGGGTGTTTCTCAAGGTTGGGGACCCTCCAAGGTGGTGCTTTTGCTTCTATTTTGAAGCCGTGAAAACCCGTGGAACATCTTTTTGATGATTTTCTTTGAGGGGGGATGCAGATCTTTTTGGAGCCCGTGGAAACCCATCCAAAAGCGCCGTTTCGAGGTCAAGGAGCTCCGTTTGCAGGCGCGGCTGGAGCCGCGGTGGGATTTTGGGGCGGACACGTCCCGTTTTTCAGGATTTTGATTTTGGTTCGGTCTTTTTGTGTGAGAAAAGCTAAAAGGCAGGGGTCCGTGCATATGGATTTTGGTTTGGTAGGGCTTGCAAAAATCCTGTGGGGATGGTAGGCAAGCACTCAAGCACTGCAAAACTAAAAAAGCGATGACCATGGCCGACAGGAGCTTTGACAACGGCACAGCTGTTTGTGGGTTGCAAGGTCCAGCCAAACCATAGGGATGTCGTCTCAGATGGCACGAAGTTTCTGGCCCTGCCCCTGAAGTGAGATTTCCATTTCAGATGTTTTTCAGAGCACGCAGAACAAACTGTGAGGCTTGACAAAAGACTAATGTGAAACTAGTCGTTTGGGAAGGTCTCTGTGATTCTGAGATAAATCCTTTTGGTGATAGATAACAGAGATCACGATTGCGATGATGACTGATGAGCCAGTCTGCTGTTGGGGTCTGTCTTTTTTTAGGGACTTTTTTGGGTTTTACAGGAAAACCAATTGGGAAAACACCATTGGGACAGGGTGGGTGGGGTGAGTGGGGTAGTTGGGGGGGGGACAACCCAAATTCTTCACAAAACGCCAGGGGGCCCCTCAAATGTTTCGTCGGTCCGAGCCTCATACGTGTGGCCTTTTGAAAAAAGTGGTGACGTGTGTTTGCCCTCGACACTTTTGAGACCAAATTGAAGCTTTCTCACTGCGGGGGAACCCCTCCTGAGCTCAAGTGAGCGATGCGAAGGAGTGCAGCGGAACATTGGGGTCCCTCTCACTGTCTCAGATTCATGTTTGACAACTTGAAAACAGCCAGAGAAACCTTCTTGCGCCATGAAGGTGGATGTTTACTTACCCAGTGCATACGGTTGCTCCATAGAAGTCTCGCCGAAGACGCCCATCAGGGAGCTGAAGTTTGCAGCGCAGAAGTGTCTTCGGCGACGCTTGAAGCTCACTGCGAAAGGCCTGCAGCTCGATTTGACGGCCACCGTGAGTGAGGCCGGGTTGCGAGATGGGGATGTGGTGGACGCGGTTGTGCAGCTTGGCAAACTGGCTTCCACAAGCAGGGCGTTTGCTTGGCATGACCATGGGGGTGAGGTTGTAACCTGGGGTCAGCCAGACTGGGGCGGGGACAGCAGCCAGGTGCAAGAGCAGTTGGGGAGCGTGCAGGAGATCCAAGCATCTGCCGGTGGTGCTTTTGCTACCATTCTTGAATCTGGGGCTGTTGTGACCTGGGGTCTTGCAGAATTCGGCGGAGACAGCAGACAGGTGCAAGAGCAGCTGGGGAACGTCCAAGCAACTGAGTGTGCTTTTGCAGCTATTCTCAAATCTGGGGCAGTTGTGACCTGGGGTCGTGGCATGGGCGGAGGCGGCTGGCATTTGAGGAACGTCAACGTCAAGCACATTCAAGCAAATGCGTTTGCTTTTGCGTGCTTTTGCTGCCATTCTTGAATCTGGGGCTGTTGTGACCTGGGGTCACGCAGACATGGGCGGAGAGAGCAGCGAAGTGCAAGAGCAGCTGAGGAATGTCCAACACATCCAAGCAGCGGACGGTGCTTTCGCTGCTATTCTCGAATCTGGCGCTGTTGTGACCTGGGGTGATCCAAAACGTGGCGGAGACAGCAGCAAGGTGCAAAAGCAGCTGAAGAACGTCCAGCACATCCAAGCAACTCGCTACGCTTTTGCTGCCATTGTTGAATGTGGAGCAGTTGTGACCTGGGGTCATCCAGGATATGGTGCAGATAGCAGCCAGGTGCAAGAGCAGCTTAGGAACGTCCAGCACATTCAAGCAACTGTTGGTGCATTTGCAGCCATTCTGAAATCTGGGGTTGTTGTAACCTGGGGTGATCCACAACGTGGCGGAGACAGCAGCGAGGTGCAACAGCAGCTGAGGAACGTCCAGTACATCCAAGCAACTGCTGGTGCTTTTGCTGCCATTCTTTGTTCTGGGGCTTTTGTGACTTGGGGTAAAGCAGGCTTGGGCGGAGACAGCAGTCAGGTGCCAGCGCATCTGAGGAACGTCCAGCACATTCAAGCAAATGAGCGTTGCTTTGCTGCCATTCTTGAATCTGGAAATGTTGTGATTTGGGGGGACATCAACCAGGTGTAAGATTAGCCGAGCTTGAATCCGGCAAATCGCCGCAGGCGTGGAGAAAGGAGGGAATGCGCCGCAGCTGGCTTGCACGTGAACCACAGTAGATTGCGGCGGAGACAGCAGCCAGGTGCAAGAGCTGAGCTCATCGTTTGGAGCTGTTGTAACACAAACGGAGCACGTCAGTGGCGCAAAACGCCTGCTGAAAGGAAACAACGTGCGCACTTCACATTTTGATTCGATTTGTTAGGAAAACTTCAGCCTAAGTTTCTCGTGTTCCCTCGAACCAACGGGATGCTTTTTGAGGCCTGTTTTGTATGTTCTGTTGGGTTCACTCCGTGCTTGTACGGCAATCTTGCTTACTGCACTGAACCAGAGTCATCAACTAGTTCTCGTAAGGGAAGATGCAGATGAGTTCGTCCGCCAACAGATGGATTCCTTCAGGCCAGCCATTTGAGCCCAGTAGCGGAACCCGCGGGAGGAGAACTTCTCTCAAAGATAAACCTGGGGTCATTATTTTGGCGGTTTCTGGGGGTTATCAAAGTCATTTTTTTTGGAATCGGTTGTTTCCCTTTAATCCACCACTGAACGGGGGTGACTTTGATCATGGTAAAATAATGAGGCCAGTAAACTCCCTGGTGGTTCGGAGCCATCTTTCAGGGAGGCTTTCGGATGCTTTCGGAGTTCCGCACAGGAGGGTCTTTTTGCCACCTTTTGTGGACAATTGATCGATTTCCTCGTAGTGAAGGATTCCTTTTTTAGGGGGTCGGCCATTTTTTCTCGGAAAGGTCGCAAAAAGGACCCCCCTTCCGCACACCTTCTCGGCGGGTCCTTAACGTTGCCACCTGGAAGGTACCTGGAAGTTGTCAGGTGGATAGAAAAGGGAAGACTGAGATTCTGGGGACCCCGATGTTTAGTGATTGGGGGTGTCCCTGTAGAGGGGGTTCGGTTCGGACCGCTGTTCGGAAGGCCCCTGTGGATGGTGACGCGAACTCCGAACATCGCAGCGCTTCAGAAGATGTTCTGATTCGATTCCCCAAGGTAAAATCCTGAAAACAGCTACGTCCTGGATTCCCTCCCGTGGTTTTTCTCATTTGGCCATGGGCTTTTCAAAATCCAAATCGGATAGCCCCAGTGAACAACCAATCCAACCAAAAACAGGTTCTATGATTCTATGGGTGCTGAATTCACCAATCCCAAAATGGTACCATTGGTTTTGACAACCACAGCCATTTAGGGGAAATAGATTTGAAGTTTGCTGGATTTTCCCATCGCTTCGGCGCGGAGTTCTCTCGTTCTCGCGGATTTCGCTAGGCGCTCCGGAAGTGCGTGCCTCTGGCCCAGCCGGGGCCCCGCGATTTGGAGGGTTTTGGCTAGGAAGCCTTCCCATGGTGGTTGGGAAAACAAGAGACAAGACACAGGAAAACAAGAAAGCATGGCCCGGATACATGGTGGTTCTTGGGAACCGCTCTTTCCATTTTTGATCTCATTGTGGTTTAGTGGTTGAAACCCAAATCCACTTAACTGCTAGTTTTTGTATAATTATTTTTTTGCTCCCCTTCCAGCGTCAACCAAGTTCCGGAACCCGGAGCTTGCTGTTGGCGCGTTTTTTTTTTTTTTGGTGTCTGCTGAGATTTCAGTGGTTTTAGAAAGGTGGGAGACCAAAAGGAAGCCACTGTGTTCTTTTGTTTGTTTGTTTGTTTGTTTGTTTGGCTCCTTTTGCTCGATATTTCAGTCCCTACTTTCTTCAATTATATACACTGTTAAGTTCCTTTGATTGCCGATACTTGGTTATTCAATGATCACATATTTCCTGTGTCTATTTTGAATCACCGTTGGTTGCGGATTTGAAAGTGAACTTCCACGTGGACGTGTCTTTCTTCGAGTATCGCCTTTCTGGGGTGGTAATTGCGCATTCCGCAGAGATGTTCCTCATCTTAACAAAGGACATGAAAGCCAAACAGCAAGCAATACAACACTTCTTGTTTTGTGAAATTTGGATTTGCAGGGTTTCCTCCATTTCCCCTGACAAACCCTGCGTGTCCGTATCATAGGTCCTTTAGTTTGGCTAGAAATAGACGACTTCGACTGGTGGTAGATGCCCCCTTCTGCAGGGAACCCCATCCCAATTTGGGGGAAATCCAGGCGGCTGGTTTATCATCAACGTTCAGAGCCTCAAACCGGCTCTCTCTCTCTCTCTCTCTCTGTCTGTCTGTCTGTCTGTCTGTCTGTCTGTCTGTCTGTCTGTCTGTCTGTCTGTCTGTCTGTCTGTCTGTCTCTCTCTCTCTCTCTCTCTCTCTCTCTCTCTCTCTCTCTCTCTCTCTCTCTCTCTCTCTCTCTCTGAGGATCTCGGCGGCGATTGAGAAGAGCGACTTGCCGGGAAGCCCGGACAAAGTTTTCCAGGGCGACGGGCGCTTCCCTTTATTTTGATAGTTTTTTTTTGTTTGGGGTGGGGGGGGGGGGAGGGTTGGGGGTAGCGGGGTGGGGGCGGGGGGGGAATGAGGATGCGGTGGTCCTTTGCTGGCTTAATGCTGGCTTGGTTGCTTGGTTGCTTGGTTGCTTGGTTGCTTGGTTGCTTGGTTGCTTGGTTGCTTGGTTGCTTGGTTGCTTGGTTGCTTGGTTGCTTGCTTGCTTGCTTGCTTGCTTGCTTGCTTGCTTGCTTGCTTGCTTGCTTGCTTGCTTGCTTGCTTGCTTGCTTGCTTGCTTCTTGGTTGGTTGGTTGGTTGGTTGGTTGGTTGGTTGCTTGGTTGCTTGGTTGCTTGGTTGCTTGGTTGCTTGGTTGCTTGGTTGTTTGGTTGGTTGCTTGGTTGCTTGGTTGTTTGGTTGGTTGCTCGGTTGGTTGGTTGGTTGGTTGGTTGGTTCGTTGGGGTTGCTTGCTTGGTTGCTTGGTTGTTTGGTTGGTTGCTCGGTTGCTTGGTTGGTTGTTTGGTTGGTTGCTTGGTTGTTTGGCGTGTTGGTTGGGTACATGAAGGGCTTACCTTTGGTTTCTGTTGAAAAGCCAAAAAGGCCACTTTGCGCCGACCTCCGAGGATCGGCCTCATCGTGAAAGCCGGGCCGGTGCTGGACCAGTGACCAACAGTCCCCGGAACTCCCGTCTGGTTCGGCGAGTCTATGGGTGGTGCGGGGGGAAAGGACTTCGGCGCGAAACACGGGCGCGGCACAAGGACCAGCCAGAATGGAGGTGCAATAGTTTCCATCTGGTTTCCCCAAAAAGGTTTTCCTACCCAAAGAAGCGACACCGTCACTTGCCCATTACCTTACTGGAATGCGGCATGCGGTAAATTTCTGATTTCTGAAGCTGGTTGCCTCCAAAAGTGGGCAGTTTCCTTGAAACCAACCTGTCCATGGCTTGAGCCACACATCATTGCAACCCCAGTAAGATGTTCAGCGTGTTTTGGTTGAAAGAGCAGCCGAAGCCTGCAGCACCAGGCTTTGGTAGGGTATGTTTGAGGAACAATATCATGAAATCTCAGGACCAGCTTCCATGCCCTTCGAAACACATTCCTTCTCTGTTGGTTCTCTGTGGCTTCGTTGGCCGTGAGACTTGTTGGCCAAGCCAATGGAGTGCGCAGGAATGTTTTCCAAAGCAGGGGACAACGCTGCAAGTCTTGGTCTGAGAAACCCGACAGCATGGCACTTGACGATCGGGAACTCCCCGAAACAAGAGGACGATGATCTGACGCTGAGGTCCAATGTGGGAGGAACCTTTTCAGGACTTCGTGCTTCTTCAGCTTCCACCAGGCTAAACATCACCCTTTGGAGTATTTCTAGCTGGTAGTCGGAAAGGAGCCAAGGAGGTGTATCGAAATTTGTATAACAAAAAGAGGTAAACATCACCTTTTGGATTATTTGTAGCAAGGAGCTAAAGGAGATGTATCCAAATTTGTCTAACAAAAAGCGGTAACCATCACCTTCTGGATTATTTATAGCAAGGAGCTAAAGGAGATGTATCCAAATTTTTCTAACAAAAAGAGGTAAACATCACCTTTTGGATTATTTTTTGGCAAGAAGCTAAAGGAGATGTATCCAAATTTGTCTAGCAAAAAGAGGTAAACATCACCTTTTGGATTATTTATAGCAAGGAGCTAAAGGAGATGTATCCAAATTTGTCTAACAAAAAGCGGTAAACATCACCTTTGGATTATAGCAAGGAGCTAAAGGAGATGTATCCAAATTTTTCTAACAAAAAGGGTAACCATCACCTTTTGGATTATTTTTTGGCAAGAAGCTAAAGGAGATGTATCCAAATTTGTCTAGCAAAAAGAGGTAAACATCACCTTTTGGATTATTTATAGCAAGGAGCTAAAGGAGATGTATCCAAATTTGTCTAACAAAAAGCGGTAAACATCACCTTTTGGATTATAGCAAGGAGCTAAAGGAGATGTATCCAAATTTGTCTAACAAAAAGCGGTAACTATCACCTTTTGGATTATATTTATAGCAAGGAGCTAAAGGAGATGTATCCAAATTTGTCTAACAAAAAGAGGTAAACATCACCTTTTGGATTATTTATAGCAAGGAGCTAAAGGAGATGTATCCAAATTTGTCTAACAAAAAGCGGTAACCATCACCTTCTGGATTATTTATAGCAAGGAGCTAAAGGAGATGTATCCAAATTTTTCTAACAAAAAGAGGTAACCATCACCTTTTGGATTATTTTTTGGCAAGAAGCTAAAGGAGATGTATCCAAATTTGTCTAGCAAAAAGAGGTAAACATCACCTTTTGGATTATTTATAGCAAGGAGCTAAAGGAGATGTATCCAAATTTGTCTAACAAAAAGCGGTAAACATCACCTTTTGGATTATAGCAAGGAGCTAAAGGAGATGTATCCAAATTTGTCTAACAAAAAGCGGTAACTATCACCTTTTGGATTATATTTATAGCAAGGAGCTAAAGGAGATGTATCCAAATGTGTCTAGCAAAAAGCCGCAAACATCACCTTTTGGATTATGTATAGCAAGGAGCTAAAGGAGATGTATCCAAATTTGTCTAACAAAAAGCCGTAAACATCACCTTTTGGATTATTTATAGCAAGGAGCTAAAGGAGATGTATCCAAATTTGTCTAACAAAAAGCGGTAAACATCACCTTTTGGATTATTTATAGCAAGGAGCTAAACGAGATGTATCCAAATTTGTCTAACAAAGAGCGGTAACCATCACCTTTTGGATTATTTATAGCAAGAAGCTAAAGGAGATGTATCCAAATTTGTCTCACAAAAAGCGGTAACCATCACCTTTTGGACTATTTCTAGCAAGGAGCTAAAGGAGATGTATCCAAATTTGTCTAACAAAAAGAGGTAACCATCACCTTTTGGACTATTTATAGCAAGGAGCTAAAAAAGAGGTAAACATCACCTTTTGGATTATTTATAGCAAGGAGCTAAACGAGATGTATCCAAATTTGAATAACAAAAAGCGGTAAACATCACCTTTTGGATTATAGCAAGGAGCTAAAGGAGATGTATCCAAATTTGTCTAACAAAAAGCGGTAAACAACACCTTTTGGATTATGTATAGCAAGGAGCTAAAGGAGATGTATCCAAATTTGTCTAACAAAAAGAGGTAAACATCACCTTTTGGATTATTTATAGCAAGGAGCTAAAGGAGATGTATCCAAATTTGTCTAACAAAAAGAGGTAACCATCACCTTTTGGATTATTTATGGCAAGAAGCTAAAGGAGATGTAGCCAAATTTGTCTAACAAAAAGCGGTACACATCACCTTTTGGATTATTTATAGCAAGGAGCTAAAGGAGATGTATCCAAATTTGTCTAACAAAAAGCGGCAAACAACATTTTTTTGATTACTTATAGCAAGGAACTAAAGGAGATGTATCCAAATTTGTCTAACAAAAAGCGGAAAACATCACCTTTTGGATTATGTATACCAAGGAGCTAAAGGAGATGTATCCAAATTTGTCTAACAAAAAGCGGTAACCATCACCTTTTGGATTATGTATAGCAAGGAGCTAAAGGAGATGTATCCAAATTTGTCTAACAAAAAGCGGTAACTATCACCTTTTGGATTATATTTATAGCAAGGAGCTAAAGGAGATGTATCCAAATGTGTCTAACAAAATGAGGTAAACATCACCTTTTGGATTATTTATGGCAAAAAGGCTAAAGGAGATGTAGCCAAATTTGTCTAACAAAAAGCGGTAAACATCACCTTTTGGATTATTTATAGCAAGGAGCTAAAGGAGATGTATCCAAATTTGTCTAACAAAAAGCGGCAAACATCATTTTCTTGATTACTTATAGCAAGGAGCTAAAGGAGATGTATCCAAATTTTTCTAACAAAAAGAGGTAAACATCACCTTTTGGATTATTTTTTGGCAAGAAGCTAAAGGAGATGTATCCAAATTTGTCTAGCAAAAAGAGGTAAACATCACCTTTTGGATAATTTATAGCAAGAAGCTAAAGGAGATGTATCCAAATTTGTCTAGCAAAAAGAGGTAAACATCACCTTTTGGATAATTTATAGCAAGGAGCTAAAGGAGAGGTATCCAAATTTGTCTAACAAAAAGCGGTAAACATCACCTTTTGGATATTTTCTAGCAAGGAGCTAAAGGAGATGTATCCAAATTTGTCTAACAAAAAGCGGTAACCATCACCTTTTGGATTATGTATAGCAAGGAGCTAAAGGAGATGTATCCAAATTTGTCTAACAAAAAGCGGTAACCATCACCTTTTGGACTATATATAGCAAGGAGCTAAAGGAGATGTATCCAAATTTGTCTAACAAAAAGCGGTAACTATCACCTTTTGGATTATATTTTTGGCAAGGAGCTAAAGGAGATGTATCCAAATGTGTCTAACAAAAAGAGGTAAACATCACCTTTTGGATTATTTATGGCAAGAAGCTAAAGGAGATGTAGCCAAATTTGTCTAGCAAAAAGCGGTAACCATCACCTTTTGGATTATTTATAGCAAGGAGCTAAAGGAGATGTATCCAAAATTGTCTAACAAAAAGCGGCAAACATCACCTTTTTGATTACTTATAGCAAGAAGCTAAAGGAGATGTATCCAAATTTGTCTAGCAAAAAGCTGTAAACATCACATTTTGGATTATTTCTAGCAAGGAGCTAAAGGAGATGTATCCAAATTTGTCTAACAAAAAGCGGTAACTATCACCTTTTGGATTATTTATGGCAAGGAGCTAAACGAGATGTATCCAAATTTGTCTAGCAAAAATGCGGTAAACATCACCTTTTGGATTATTTGTAGCAAGGAGCTAAACGAGATGTATCCAAATTTGTCTAACAAAAAGCGGTAAACATCACCTTTGGGATTATTTATAGCAAGAAGCTACAGGAGATGTATCCAAATTTGTCTAACAAAAAGCGGTAAAACACACCTTTTGGATTATTTATGGCAAGGAGCTAAAGGAGATGTAGCCAAATTTGTCTAGCAAAAATGCGGTAAACATCACCTTTTGGATTATTTGTAGCAAGGAGCTAAAGGAGATGTATCCAAATTTGTCTAACAAAAAGAGGTAAACATCACCTTTTGGATTATTTATGGCAAGAAGCTAAAGGAGATGTATCCAAATTTGTCTTACAAAAAGAGGTAAACATCACCTTTTGGATAATTTATAGCAAGGAGCTAAAGGAGAGGTATCCAAATTTGTCTAACAACAAGAGGTACCCATCACCTTTTGGATTATTTCTCGCAAGGAGCTAAAGGAGATGCATCCAAATTTGTCTAACAAAAAGCGGTAAAACACACCTTTTGGATTATTCATGGCAAGGAGCTAAAGGAGATGTATCCAAATTTGTCTAACAAAAAGCGGTAACCATCACCTTTTGGATTATTTCTAGCAAGGAGCTAAACGAGATGTAGCCAAATTTGTCCAACAAAAAGCGGTAACCATCACCTTTTGGATTATGTATAGCAAGGAGCTAAAGGATATGTATCCAAATTTGTCTAACAAAAAGCGGTAACTATCACCTTTTGGATTATATTTATAGCAAGGAGCTAAAGGAGATGTATCCAAATGTGTCTAACAAAAAGCGGTAAACATCATCTTTTGGATTATTTATGGCAAGGAGCTAAACGAGATGTATCCAAATTTGTCTAGCAAAAATGCGGTAAACATCACCTTTTGGATTATGTGTAGCAAGGAGCTAAAAGAGATGTATCCAAATTTGTCTAACAAAAAGCGGTAAAACACACCTTTTGGATTATTTATGGCAAGGAGCTAAAGGAGATGTAGCCAAATTTGTCTAACAAAAAGCGGTAACTATCACCTTTTGGATTATTTATAGCAAGGAGCTAAAGGAGATGTATCCAAATTTGTCTAACAAAAGAGGTAAACATCACCTTTTGGATAATTTATAGCAAGGAGCTAAACGAGATGTATCCAAAATTGTCTAACAAAAAGCGGTAAACATCACCTTTTGGATTATAGCAAGGAGCTAAAGGAGATGTATCCAAATTTGTCTAGCAAAAAGCCGTAAACATCACCTTTTGGATTATTTGTAGCAAGGAGCTAAAGGAGATGTATCCAAATTTGTCTAACAAAAAGCGGTAAGCATCACCTTTTGGATAATTTATAGCAAGGAGCTAAAGGAGATGTATCTAAATTTGTCTAACAAAAAGAGGTAAACATCACCTTTTGGATTATTTATAGCAAGGAGCTAAAGGAGATGTATCCAAATGTGTCTAACCAAAAGCGGTAAAACACACCTTTTGGATTATTTATAGCAAGGAGCTAAAGGAGATGTATCCAAATTTGTCTAACAAAAAGCGGAAAACATCACCTTTTGGATTATTTATAGCAAGGAGCTAAAGGAGATGTATCCAAATTCGTGTCTAAAAGAAGAGGGAGGCGGTTCTTGCGGAGCTACCGATCGGAGTGGGTTGGGACACGGCAGGTATGACGTGAGCGTTGGAGCCAAGGACCTGAGCGCGTTGCGCGGAGTCGTGTTGCGTTTCTTTTCGTCTTTTGGGAAGCATACCCTTTTTTGGGGGTTGGTTTAAAAAGGACCAGGACACCACCCCAATTTTAGCGGATTTATTATTCTAGAGACAAGCCAACTGCAACTCTGTAGTTGAAAGCCAGGCTGTTTCAATAGGGGACCAAAACGAGGAATGCGGTGCAGGTCCATCAACTCGATTAAACAACTGGTTGATTTTGATTGGACCCCCCAAAAAATCCAACAGGGTCAGCAGTGCGGGATCAACATTTGGGGGCGATTCCCGCGTTGCCTGAAGAGATCAGTATGCAACGGGCCCGTGGTGTTGCGGTAGCCATGTAGAAGGTTTTGAGGTGTTTGGGCCGCCAAGGCATACCTGATAGCATCAATGCTGTATCGCACTGGAGCTCGATTGCCCTGGATGTACTTTTTTTTGCTTTGCAGACAAGTAGTGTCTCAATGTTGGTTTCCGGCTTGGCATGATGCAATTCATGCTTCGGAACATTCACGCATCCCGTTCGGACACGTTGCTTGGCATGTAGAAGTTGATGGGCTTGGTCGAGTCAGGGGCAAGCCTGTTATCTTGATCCTGAAGCAGGGGGCTTGGGTTGGGGGGCACTGGAACTGGAACCCCTGCTTTTTAGGGACGGACTTTTTCGGGTGTTTCTTGTTCGCGCCCTAGCAAGAAGGCGCGGGCGCCCTGAGAACCAGAAAAGCGGCGCCTCGGGCAGTACCTTCTTGCAAGTTCTGGGATGATTTTCAGAGAGCTGCCCGGAGACTATTGCGTCGAGCTGGGGTCGGCCAGCGCCACGTACTTCTTCGCGTCCTTCAAGTCCGGATCTCCGTTCCGTTGCGACCCGCGAACGGCATCCATTTCTTAACGCCTAAAGGAGCTGCCAAGGGTCAGGCATTCAGGACTGATTCAAGAGGAAAGCAACAGGATCCGCCTGCAGGGGCTGCTCCGCACCCTTAGCTTGGAATCAAAACTAGGCTCACTGATCTGGAAGGCATCACTGAAAGGGAGTTAGTGGCCCGGCCTCGGGGGTTCTTTTCTGTTTTTTTTGGGGAAGGAAGGTATTGGATCCTCAGCTTTTTCTTGGATGTGCAACTTTGACCATGTAGAAAGTGGCAAGGGATCACCGAGGAGCAGTCAAGAAGGGAGAGGGAGAGAACAGGGAACGAGAGAGAGAGAGAGAGATAGAACAAAAAACGGCAGGTGAATTCAGCGGGCCCTTGAGGCAGTCTTGTGAAGAAGCAGATCACTCCAAATCGTCGGATATGTGACGGGACTCTGTAGAGTCAATGGAAGTCTTGAGACGAAGGCCGTGCGGCCAGAACTTGCATTGGGATCTCTTTGATGGATGGGCGAGTCTTTTTTGGATGCTACCTTTTGCTGGGTTGGCTTTGCCGTGCAACCAAACAAGACACCACCCATTTCAGGGCTTCTCCCAAACAAAGACACAGTTTCCGGCTTAGTTGAAATGGCATCCAACAGAAAAAAAAACAACACACACTCATGAGCCCAGTTCCCCGTTGAAATGTGAAAGAATCACGGAATATATATATATATATATATAAACGTAAAACACTCAATAAGTCCAGTTCCCTGGTTAAAAGACTCCCCCGCACAGATCCCACTCCTTCTTGAAGTCCCCCCCCCAGCAAAGCAAAACGTTTTCCCCGCGGCGCAAGTGGCGCCTGGGAGGTGTGGACCGCGGAGTCCATCGAGAGCCACCAGCCAGGCGCCGGGGGAAAAAAAAGTCCCGGCGAGCCCAAGGAGGGGGAGCGAGCATGGGTGCCCGGCTTAAAACCGGGGGATGGGTCAAAAAGGTGACATCCACCTGGAAAGGAAGAGAGGCGGAAGAAACTCCTTCTTTTTTTTGGTTCCATGAATGAATCTGGTGGGGCTGCGGATGCGGAAGTTTGGAGTCTTGTATAGCGGCTCAATCTTTCAGGTCTTGATGGTGACTCAGAGGTCCATTCAAACCTGCAGAAGGGCTTGGTCTGTGCAGTCCTGTACTATTCTCACGAACATTTTATTTTTGGTGTACCTGTTTTGGTTGAAATCGTCCCAACCCAAAACGGAGTAAACCCTCTCAACCTTTAACTTAGTCCGTAGAACCTTACAGAGTGTTTCTTAATAATAAGTGCACCCCAGGTTGATGTCCTTTGGCCTCCCCCCCAAAAAGAAATCGGGGCCCGTTCCTGATTTTCCATGAAAGTCATCCGGCTTGAAGGTTCCCCATGAGCCACATCCATGTTAATGTTGCACACCCAAAATCCCATTTTCGATCGTGGCGGTTTCGGTACACCACATTCTGGTGAATTTTGAGGTAGCTTCGGGGACCCTGTCCTGCATGAAAATCATCATCATTTTGAAGACTCCCCACTTAGACACAAACCCATGTTTCTAGGGGTTGATTCCCCATTCTTTTTCTTTTCAAAAACCAGCTGTTTCCCTGGGTTTTGATGGTTTCCTGAAAAGAAGGATGCCTGGAAAGAATGAGGAATATACCCCTAGAATGTTGCGCACACACACGCACACAAATTCCCATTTTCGACCATGGGGCTGTTTCGGTGTCGGCCGGTGCGTTTCTGTTCTTTGCGAGGCGGATGATTTTTTTTGGGGTCCGGATGTGCACCAGATTCAATGCTCGGAAGGACCCCCCCCAATTGGGAGAATCAATTGCCCTCTCTCCCACTAACGTGGCACCTGACAGGGGGTCCCTGCAAGTGGAAAGTAATCTTCCAGGTACTACGTTAATGGGAGGAATCAACTACCCCCCAAACCAAATCCGCCGAGTGGTGAACAATCGGATTGGATCAAGACTCCTTCTCTAGGCTAAGCGGAACCTTTCTACTGACAAGCTGGATGTCCTTTTCATTCAAGTATCTCTTGACTCGCCCCTGGAAGAACCCGAACCATATGTGAAGGTGAAGCTTGTGTGTGAAAACCTTTGGTTCCACAGGCGGCGCTTGTGTTTGGTTGTTCAGATCCTTAATGACATCCATGTGTTGAATCAGTCATCGTTTTCCTTGGGCAACTATTTGAAGTTCGATACATGACGCTTCCAGATCCAGAAACTGCGGCTTTTCTAAACGCACCGTGCCTGGACACATAGAAGCATGAGCTATGGGACTTGTGTTGGAGCGGAAATTATGGAATAGAGCAAAAAACAACAACACCCCAAGACACAAAAGTGCCCCCAAAGCAGCATCGCGTGTTCTCGTTCAACTGCTTGCAAGTTCGGTCACAGAGTGTTCAGAGCTCGGTGCCTTGTATCACTAGATGCTGAAAGTCTTGGACTTATCCCGGAAATTTCAACACCGGTTGAGTTCATCGTTGGTTTCCCTTTGGCTTCCCCTGCAACCCAAACCCAAAAGAGATTGAGGTGCCTTGCAAAAAAAGGCACACCCCTTCTGTTTTGTTGATAGAACACTGGAGTTACGGGCAAAGCCAACTTAGTATCTTCGAAGCTCAATAGCTTTCAGAATGATCACGATAAAGAAATAGTGCTACTACTACTACTACTGCTACTACTACTACTACTACTTCTACTACTTCTACTACTACTACTACAACTGCTACCACTACTGCTACTACTTCTGCTACCACTGCTACTACTGCTACTACTACGACTACTACTGCTGCTACTACTGCTACTACTGCCACTACTACCCATGCTACTACTACTACTACTGCTGCTGCTGCTACTACTACTCCCACTCCTACTCCTACTCCTCTCCTACTCCTACTTCTACTCCTACTAAAGTACTACTAGGACTAGTACTAGTACTAGTAGTACTATACCTACTAGTTCTAGTATTACTACTACCACTACGACTACCACTATTACGGCTACTACAGCTACTACGGCTACTACTACTAATTATATTGCAATCATACTAAACATAGTAATGATAATTTGTTTTTGCCCTCAGGTTGATCAACTCTCCCCCTTTGTAGATCCTTACCCTGGCTTTCTGGGTCTTCTTCTTTTCTGGCATTTGGGCTTGACTCATCAGGAAAGTCACGATTCATTGTAGGTTGTTTTCAATGAGCTCGGGGGGTGTTGTCGGTGACGCATCGCTGGCATGGATCTCGTTTTGGCTTCGGCTGAAAGACTTTAGTCACAAAGTGCCAGTTCGACAGATGACCTAAAGGTGGATGTGCACTTGCCCAGTGGAGACGTTTGCTCCATAGTCTCACTGAAAACTCAGCGAGCTGAAGGCTGCAGCGCAGCCACCTTTTCCAGGTCTCCGTTCAGCTTCTTCCAGGGTTTGTATTGCTTGTCAAACGGGTTTTGCTTGACAGATCGATCCGGCGCCCCTTTTGGAATTTCTCGCGTTTTTAGCGGTTTGGCATGCCGATCAACTGCAGAACCGTGAGGTGAGAGAAAGTTCCTCGCCAGTTGCCCTTAGGCTTCGGTCCTCTGGGTCAATTTCAGAACGGACATCTCGAACTGCCATGGCGGTTGAACGGAAATCCACGCCCCACGAGAAAAAAATAAATCGAGCCCTCAAGATGCGGCCACATTTTTAGGGACCATCCTAGTCTTGTGGCCAGGTGCTGGCTTGTTTCGGGTAGGTGTTCCAAATGGAGCGACGGGTTTTCAGATTTTGGCTTCCCGGTTACGCCAAGCTTGACCAAGACACAACCCCTTGGGACGTGTACTCTGGCCAGAAACCAGGCAAAGCGAAGAAGGACAAGGAGAAGCCGGGAGCTCGGACTGCAAAGTCGGATCCATATCCCAGGGGTCTGTGTATTGGCCTGCGTCTTTTTCTTTCTCTTTTTTCTCCGCAACAGCTGAAAGCCTTGGGGTCTCAGATAGGCTCCGGGGTCCGGGGCGGCCCTGAGGTAAGGTTCCACGAGGGTTTCCACGAGGGTTTCACGAAGGGCTGCGCGAGCACCAAAAGAGCACCGCATGCTGGGGATATCACCTGGGCTTTTCTTTTTGGGCGGGGTCTCCTTTGAATGCATCTCCTGGCATTGCCATCCGTGGTTTGTGGCGGAGCGGAGATTCCTCCAATAGAACCGGGGACAGAAGGTTCCTTCCATCAGAATCAGAATGAATATTTTTTGCTGGGGTAACGTCCAAACGTGGGGGTTCTTCTTTTCAAGCTTTTCACGCTGACGGCTGGTCCTGAAAGAATGGGGAATCCACCCGGCCTCCCAAAGCGGATTCATTCCGCAGTTGACCTTCGGAGATCCTCCTGTTGCGGTTTTTGTAGAGATTTGAAGTGTTGCCTCGAGTGCTTTGAGATCAAATGAGACACAATCAAAACCCGGGTAGATGAAGGTTGGTAAGGGACAATCCCAGCCATAAAATGCTGCGGCCTTCTTAATTCCTTACATGGTTCCGGGTAGACCTTTTAGTGCCAGGTTTTGGATTGTGACTCAAATTGCAACAGAATCCTCTCACTCCTTGAGTTCCTGCATTTTGCACTTTTTTGGACGATGTTCCAGTAGTGGCCAGCAAACGTTTGGTCCAAATCATTTCGTGACTTTGTCCGGCCACTCAAGGGGCCCTTTGTATTTTTTGCTTTCCTAGGCTCGCTCTGGGTTGTGGCAGGGTGCCGGTCGGTCGCTCGTCTGGGTTTGGTGTTCTTCTCCAAATCGGCAAACAAGCGGCGCTGCCTGAACAGGGCTCCTTAAAAGATCTCCATTTTGCAACCATTTGAAGCATGTTGCTTTTTCCACACCAAGATAAAGAAATGGAAACAACACCATTTACAAGTTGCAATGTTCGATCGGTGTTTTTCATGCATCCGGATCCCTGAATAGGTTCCACCAAAGGGGCGCTGCGTCCCCTTTCGACATGGCGAAAGAGAATTCCCTCAGCCACTTCGAAGCCGCCGGGGCGTTTGGCGTTTTATACTCACACAAACTTTTGAACACATGGCCTACAAGGGCTCCCTCGCCCTTCATCCAAAAGAGTGAAAACTCACTTCCTCAGTTCATGAGCTTTAAGCTTTTTGGGTTTGGACCATTTTAGTGGTAAATATAAAGTTTGGACTTTTTTTTATCCACTCAGCAAGTGAGAAAAGGACATTCCCCTTCAAACCCATCGAAAAAGGGCACCTTGCAAATGTTTTTGAGGCAGCCGGCCCTGCCGAGGAAGTCCAAGAAGGAGAAGCCGAAGGAGCCGGAGAAGAAGAAGAAAAAGAAAGGCGAGGCTTCATGTTTTTTTCCATGGAGATCCATTTCGAAAACCATTTGGAGGAAATCCATTTCGCAAACCAGTTGGATTTCCCGTGGCTTTTTCAACCAATTTTTGAATCCGGGTTTCATCCATCTGGTGCGAATCGGATAGTGTCCATCCACAGTATCGCCCTTATGTTTTGATATCGCCTTGTGGGCATGCTTCCCCTTTCCTCTTTTTAGATCGGTTTAAAAATCGCCTCTTGGGCCGAGTGAGCTGCCTTTGCGGGTGATGTATATATACGTGTATCTATGCTCTTCCCCCCCTGCTCTGCCTCTGTAGAAATAGTGTGCAGCCAAGAATCTGAAAACATTTCGGAATGGGACTTATCCCATTCCATCTATATACATCGCAACTAACTTTGGATAAATATCTTGTTTAGAATGGAGATTCCGCTTAATTCTCAATCGAAATAGATATTCATATTCTATTCACACTGCAATTACATTTATTAAAGTCCTATTTGGACAGGACCTCCTACTTAATCTCCAATTTGTCATAAACATTCAAACTCTTTTCTTTCGTTCTGCAAAGCTATCACAATTCTAAGTAAAGGTCTCATTAAACGGGATTCAGAATTCAATTCCAATTGACATAGTAGTCACAGTTGATTTACTCCATTGTTAAGTTCTATTCATGAAATCGATGTTTTATTCAAACTCAAATTGACGAGATAAGTCAATTATAACTCTTTCCATATGCTACTACTTAATGCTTAATTTCACATAATATTTGGAAAGGAATTCTCCTTCAACATTTTATTCGGAGTTGAATGGTTATCTTCTCAAGATCTTTTTAAGATCTTCACACGGAGCCTTTTGAGGAAGAGCCTTAAACGGAGCGTTATAAGGAGTCGTTTAAGGAGCTTCTTGCGGAGCTTTGTAGGGTGCTTTTTAAAGAGCTTTATGAGGAGTTGTATAAGAAGTCTTACAAGCAGCCTGCCAAGTGAGCTTCAAAAGGAGCTTTGCAAGCAGCTTGTAAGGACCTGCACAAGGAGCTACATTAAGAGCTTTACAGTGACCCTTGTAAGTAGCGTTAAAAGGAGCTTTATAAGGAGCTTTCAAAGGAGCTTTGTTCGATTCTGCCCGTAGCAAATGTATATAACATCTAAGAATCGTGTTTTGAGCAAAGTCATCATTTGCTTTCTTGCGTTGTGGTGATGCCCTTGAAAAACACAACATCAAACTGAAGGAATACCAGACAACAGCTCGATAAAAGCAAAACCTAAACTCAGAGCAAAACCCCAAACGTTTAGTTTTCTTTTGGTTTTCTCGAAGTTTTGTTCCTTTCTTTTGGCTTTATCACTCCAAAACAACAAACAACCACCTCGTTTTTTTTTTTTTTTTTTTTTTTTTTTTTTTTTAATGTTATCAGCAGAAAACCAACAACCACAAGGTTTGTAGGTTGTCCGGGCTGACTCCCCCAAAAACAAAGCACACACACACAGAAGCTTTCTTTTTTTTTGGGAGGGATAAAGCCAAAATGCAATCGCAGCTGAAGGAACACCATCAATCAACAAGGACAACTCAAGAAAGCAGCTTTGTTTCGGGCAGACCCAACACTTCTCCTCCAAGTTGTGCTTTTGGTTTCCGTTTCTTTCTGTTTTTTCTTCTTTTTCCGCTGCATCCCTCCAGCAAAGCAAACCTAACTCTGTAGTTTTGCTGTGTTCCGGAGGCCAACCATCAAACACAATGTGACAGCAAACCACGTTTTTGTTCATTTTGAAAGGAGGAATAGTGGAGGTAGTTCATGGAGATGTGTGTGACCCAATATATACATATAGGTACATATATATATACATATATTCTTTATAGTGCGTTGGAGTGAATTCCTTGAAGTGAGGTCCATTCAGAACCTTCTGGGCGGCCGGACTGTCACTTTTTCTTTTAGTATCTTCCCGGCGTTTGATCAGGTACTCCTTTTCGGTTTGGTCCTTTGGTTTTCCCGGGGTTCAGTCTCCAGGTACTATTTAAATTGGCGGGGCTAATATAACCACCAATGGACACCTCCAATCAAGTGGAGACCTGATTGAACGTCTCTTCAGGAGTTTCACCAAAAACAAATTGGGTCCATTGGGCCATGCTTTTTAGGGGGAGGGGGGGTTCTTCTGTAGTTTCACTTGAAAAATCCACCCGTCAACAGCCCGAGCCGCAAGGGCTCCGCAAACGGGAATCTGACAGATTTTTTCGAGCGGATGGGTTTGTCTCCGGAATTCGCTTTCACAGGGGTTATCAGTTTGGTTTGAAAGAACCCACCAAAGCAAACCCTTCAAAAGTGAACACGGTCGGAAGTTTGGAAGTGGGCATGGGGAATTTTATTCTGGCGGTGAAGCTTGGGGGGAGGAAGGAAACTCATTCATAGAGGGGGCCTTTTGCGGGGCGCACATGTCGCCCTGACAAAGAAAAATACATATATATATATATACATACATAAATTTTTATTTGCCTGGCTTGAAGGACCAACTATTGAAGTGTCAAAGTCAATTCAAGGTTCTCTTCCGCAAGTTTGGCTTCACCGGCCCTGAATTTGACTCCTTGGTCTTTGAGACCTTCGGATTTCCAAAGGAAACCAAAGGGACACTCAAGCCAAAGGCTCCGGCGTGTGTCTTTGAGGAGGTGCTCTCCTAGGGCAACGTTTGGGTGGGTATCTTGGGTTTCTCCCCGAATCTGACGGTGTTTGAACCTGGATTCCAAGTCTAGCAATAATTTTTCATTCGTTTCTGTAATTTTTAGCCCACTTCTGCAACCTCGATGCGCTGATCAAGTTTGAACCTGGCGGCGACAAGATGGGAAAATGAACGCCAAAACCAAACACTTTGAGTGGAATCCCAGCCTTAAGGATGGAAAGCCCTTCGGCCGAAGATCCCGAAACCGAAACAGGTTTCCAGTATTCTTCTCTGGGTAGGGTCTGCCAAACAAAGGTCCGTCAAAGCCTTCGCGGAAATTTGACGGACGTCCTCTCGCGTTGTGCGCCCTTGTCTTTTTTTGGCTCGATCAGTCAGTTCATTCAGACTCAAGGTTCTCTCCACGTGTCAAGGGATTCGGGATTCCCTTGAGTCGTTCAAGAAGGCTGAATGCAAAGTGTTCTTTCCGGGTTGGAAAAAGCGCTGAAACACCATGTTTTGTTCTTGCGAGAGCAGGATGATACTCGGGTCGGAGGAGCACTCGCCTGAGACTGCACCCATCAGATCTTCACATGTAGCATTGCCTGAAGCTGGGAGAACAGTAGCGAGCTTGCGAACATGTGTTTTGCTAGGGCTGCGATTTGGGGTTGGGCCTTCAAAAACACAAAATACAGATTGTGCTTGGGGAGCTGCAACGTCTTTGCTCCCGTTTTTTTCCACCTTTTTTCCTCTACATTTGTTTCTTCCGTTTTTTCTCCTTTTTATAACTTGTTTTTTCCCCCTTACCATTGGGCACTGCCTGTGAATTTGCCGGGAACACAGTCAGTGTTCGTATTTGGTTATTGTTTTTTGGAGCCTGAGTTTTGCGCAGCGCGATTGTCAACCCGGCGGCATGTTCTTCGTGTCTGAGGTCCTTGTTTGACAACTTTCATACAACCGAAAGGACCTTCCTGTGCCATGAAGGTGGATGTTTACTTGCCCAGTGGAGATGGTTGCTCCCTAGCAGTCTCACCGGAGACGCCCATGAGAAAGCTGAAGGCTGCAGCGCAGCAGCATTTCCGGCGCCGCTTGAAGCTCACCGCAAAAGGCCTGCAGCTGGATTTGACGGCCACGGTGAGTGAGGCCGGATTGCGAGATGGGGATGTGGTGGATGCTGTTGTGCAGCTTGGCAAACTTGCTGCCACCTTGAAGGCGCTTGCTTGGTATGACCACAGCGGCGAGGTTGTGACCTGGGGCGATCCAGACTATGGCGGAGACAGCAGGCAGGTGCAAGGGCAGCTAAGGAACGTTCAGCAGGTCCAAGCGACTTTCAGTGCTTTTGCTGCCATTCTTGAATCTGGGGCTGTTGTGACCTGGGGCGATCCAGACTATGGCGGAGACAGCAGCCAGGTGCAAGAGCAGCTGAGGAACGTTCGGCACATCCAAGCAACTGGCGGTGCCTTTGCTGCCATTCTCGAATGTGGGGCTGTTGTGAGCTGGGGTTCTTCAGAGTGGGGTGGAGACAGCAGTCAGGTGCAAGAGCAGCTGAGAAACGTTCACCGCATCCAAGCAACTGACGGTGCTTTCGCTGCCATTCTTGAATCTGGGGCTGTTGCGTCCTGGGGCCATGCAGATTATGGAGGAGACAGCAGCCAGGTGCACGAGCAGCTGAGGAAAGTCAAGCACACTCTATCAACTAGTGCTTCTTATGGTGCTTTTGCTGCTCTTCTTGAAGCTGGGGCTGTTGTGACATGGGGCGGTGTACATTATGGTGGAGACAGCAGCCGGGTGCAAGAGCAGCTGAGGAACGTCCAGCAGATCCAAGCAACTGATTATGCCTTTGCAGCCATTCTTGAAACAGGTGCCGTTGTGACCTGGGGCGGTGCAAGTGACGGTGGAGACAGCAGACAGGTTCAGGAGCAGCTGAGGAACGTCCACCACATCCAAGCAACTGACGGTGCTTTTGCTGCAATTCTTGAATCTGGGGCTGTGGTGACGTGGGGCCGTGCACAAAATGGCGGAGATAGTAGCCAGGTTCAGGAGCAGCTGAGGAACGTGCAGCACATCCAAGCAACTGACGCTGCTTTCGCTGCCATTCTGGAATCTGGGGCAGTTGTGACCTGGGGTGATCCAGAGAGTGACAGCAGCGAGGTGCAAGAGCAGCTAAGGAATGTCCAGCAGATCCAAGCAACTGTAAATGGTGTTTTTGCTGCCATTCTTGAATCTGGAGTTGTTGTGACCTGGGGCCGTGCAAATTATGGAGGAGACAGCAGCCAAGTGCAAAACCAGCTGAGGAACGTTCAGCACATCCAAACAACGTTCGGTGCCTGTGCTGCCATTCTTGAATCTGGGGCTGTTGTTGCTTGGGGTAGTGCAGATTGCGGCGGAGACAGTAGCCAGGTGCAAGAGCAGCTGCGCTCATAACATGTGGCCCAGGTTTAATACCAAGAAGCGTGCTGAAAGAAGAGAACAACTTGTGCACTCCACTGGGACTTTGGTTGCGTATGAAGCTTTGCAGATATGGCTGTGGGTCAACACCAATAATGGTACCATTTTGGGGTAGGTGCACCACCCATTTTAGAACCTATTTCAGTGGGGATTGTGATGTTCACTGGGGGTACGATTTGGCTTTTGACCCATAGCCGTATGCCATTGCTTTTTGCTGGCTTCACTTTCTGTTGGTAGAGTAGCGGCTCAAGCCTGATCATGTTCCAGGCATAGATATACCCCGCAACAAGCGCACAACTGGTGTCAGCAAGCTCATTGGCTCGAGCCAGGGCAATCTAGCTTAGGGCACTGGTGAGCTAGGGCTCTCAATCACTTGGGGTGAAAAATTCCCATGGCGGCTGTTCCGATGGCTTCAGCAGCTTTTATTAGGGTGTGTTGGTCGCAGGTCTTGGTGATTTTTTGAGGCTCGGCATTTTGTCTTGGCTGCTTTGAAGGCTTGCAAAAGGAGGCAACCATTTGTATCAGTTTCCTATTTGAGACGCACCCATTTGGGAGTTCCTCACTATCGGTGGGCTTGCCCTTTGGGTATTTAAATGGAAGCCAAAGGACAACGATTGTAGGGGACCACTACTTTGAAAACCCCCGCACACTTGGACCACCAAATCAATTAAGCAGTCAGAGTGAATTTTCTTGCCAGTTGGCCACCATACAAGCGAGGGTGGCTCAAACAGGGGAAATGGGGATGCTCTTGTTCAGACAAGAGGGAAACTCAAGAAAACGGTTCCTTTCTTTTTCTGGGTCAATTTGATTGTGACATCCCCCAAATTCCCCGAGCTAAATGGTGGCTTAAAGGGAGGCATCACCAAGATCTTCAGTCACGAATTCCCCTGGCGCACAGGAAATACTGTGGATGGACGACATCCTGCACCACTTTGAAACCCTGGGAAACCATCCGCAGTACGGACGCTTGAAACGGGATTTCGGAATATTATTTTGTTGTTAGGCGTAAGCCCGCCAGGTCCTCAGGTCTCAAGACGTGCCAGGCGTCCCTGAGAAATGGAAGGACCCCCTTTTTGAGGCAATCCCTTTTGCGTTTTCCTTGCGGGAATCCATTTCCAAACGCTTCATTTCCAAGACCCGGACTCGTCATTCCCTATCGCACCGCTTCGCAAGTAGTGCGCGGTCTCGAGACCTCGAAATCGGTGAGGCGACGGCTCTTCCGACGAGGCCCAGGCGCAGCCGAATTGCGCCGAGTCGCCGGGCGCTTTGGGCGCCAAGTTAGCTTGGGCAACCAGAGACTTTGGCCAATAATTCCCTTGCGATTAAAGGGATTGCCGCTTTGCTATGAGGGAGTTGTGCCATCATCTACTTTCACCCAACTTGGCTTTAGGAAACCCACCCAAAGGCCTATGGAAACAGCTGGTTTTTGAAAAGAGCGATGGTTGAAAAGAATGGGACATCAACTTTTAGACTTTTGGTAACATGTGTTCTTTTGGTGTCCTCTTGGATGGCTTAAAGCCCCATGTTTGGAGGGATTTCTGATGTTTGGGGCCCCTTCCAAACCAAACAGCAAATAATGAAACAGATATTTAAACCTTTGGTGCATGTTGCTTGGATGTTAGGACTTGAGAATTTGTTGCCAACCAATGGATTGGTTTTCCGTATTAAAGCGGGGCTCTGCAGATGTCGCCACCGGGAAACTGGGCTAAAAATATTTTCATCTTGCCACCATTTGAAACCATGGCTGGCTTTTTCAACACCAAGATCAAGACATGGAGACCGCCATGGACCAGTGGCAACGTTCGATGGGTGTTCGATCGGTGCATCCGGATCCCTAAGCACATACACGGTGGGTGCCCTTGGTTGCCGGATCTCGTGGGCCGTGGGTGGCGGTAGCTTTGGATTCGCATGGGCTCTCAAGTGCTCGTGACCTCATATTTCCCCCCCCCCCCCCCCCCTTTTATCCTTTATTTTTTCTTCTCCCTTTTGTTAAAGTCATTTTTTCACCCCGGGATCGCTTGTGAACAGCCCCCGGTTTTGAGGTTGGTGTTTTGCAAGGGAAGCCAAGACTAGGGGATCATCACCTGGACCTGTTGGCTGCGTATTTTTTTGAAAGGTAACCAAGAGGACACGCGTAGCCATTTTAGGGGATCTTTTTTTTTAAAAAGCAACCTATGCTTCGAAGGTGACCGTAGTTCGGATTTGAGATCGATTTGGTTGAAAAATAGAAGGCCTGGTTTATCTGGTGGTTCAATCAACTACCAGGGCCATCCATTCTCCCAAAAAGGACACCTATGCTGAGGTTTCTCCAGTGGAGCACAGGAGCTCCAGCAATGACCCCAGATTCGACGGTTTTTCCCCCAGCTGAAAGCTGGGTCGATAGGCCCGGATAGGCGATATGGGGTGGTTTGGGGCAGCCCTCAGGGAGGGTTCCAGAGGGTTCCAAGGGGGTTCCGGGGGACAAACGCCTCGGTGTATGAATCTTGGGTTTGCGTTTCTGCAGGATTCCCAATGAGTGGAAAAAGCAACTGACACATCTTCGAGCGGTTGGACGTGAGGCGATCACAGCTGCACAACCAGCCCATTTACCGTTGCCGAGGTATCTACAACTTGTTGGTTCTCAGCAATCCCCCTATGGTTTCCTTTAGTCCAGAATCTTCTTTCCGGTACATTCCCAAAAGCCCCCGCACTCCCTCATTCCCTATAAGGGGTTGAAACATTCAAGGGGTTTTTTGGGAGTGACTGCCCTCCCGGCCAACATGGCAATGGAAGCCAAGTGCTCTTCCTTTGAATGGGTAGCTGTGGGTGGATGTTGAGATGTGAGTTTGAAGGCGGCAAGCGACCCATCAGACCTTGGTTGCCCCACCAAGGATGAGAGGGTTGAGGGTGGCTTGGAGATTCCGGCCTCACCAACCAGCCATTCCGTGCAAAGTTTGGCATGCCAAGAGGAGTCGACTGCCACAAATCGAGCGCGCCTAAGCCATTGTCCAATCGGGTGCCCCTCTGAAAAGGAGGCATGGTGCCTGCGAAAGGGCACCTGGAAGATCAGTTTCCTTTTGGAGGAACCCCCTGTCCGGTTCCATGGCGTGGGAGAGAGGGCAACCTTGAGCACGAACACACTAGGGCCTCAACAGAGGCGGAAGCTTTGACTAGATCCAATGCCATCCACCGATGGTCCAGGGATTTTCTTAGACCAACAGCCAACAGCTTCCTCGTTTCAGACTCTTCGAAGCAAGTCGTGAATCGGCAAGGAACGCCCGGCAGGTCCCAACGAAACGCTTTGCCAGGCGCCAAAGAAGAGCAAGAGAGGCCAAGGGACATGGAATCGGACACTCGCTTGGGCAAGACTTGGTTGGAGGGCCGTGGTGTTTCGTGTTTTTTGTTTGTTTTTGCCTGGTTCTACTCGGTGGATCCCAGTTACCCGTATAGTAGCATTACCCCTTGCTTGCATTTGTACAAAATGACCACCCGCTACATTTGCAAACGTAACGTTGTGTTTGTTTGTTTGTTTGTTTGTTTGTTTGTTTGTTTGTTTGTTTGTTTGTTTGTTTGTGCACATGCATTTTGATGAAATGGCCTACATTCGGCCATTTTCTCAATGCAACGTCATTTTTCTACAACACATGGGGCTACAATGGATCAAATGTCAAATTTGTTGTGTTTGTTCGTTTCTTTTTTCTCTTTTTATGTAGGGGTCCAGGCTACATTGGTCAGGGGCGGTTGCCAGCAAAGTTTTACCCATTCTGGACATTGCCACATGCTTGCTTGCTTGCTTGCTTGCTTGGCTGGTTGCTTGAGTGAGACATGGAACCCGGAGGCCGGCGCAGCCCGAGTTTGACCATGATGCTGCCAGCAGATGTTTGGGGGCCCAAGTTGGCATTTTCTGCCATGGTTGCCTTGGGTTGGGTTGTCAACGTTTTCCTTTCTGCCTTGTTTTTGAGCAAATGTGTTTTTTTTCTTCTTTTGGGGCGATTTGAAAGGGGATCATGTTCAGGTTAAGTTCCCACTTGGTGGTTTGGATTGGGAGCTTAGGATTTGAACCCCTGGTCTTGTGCGTAAAGGGGACACCACCCTGGAACACCTGGTGTCCTTGAAATGGCCCATATTTGGTGGAGGTTCCAAGATTTTGTTTCCAGGTCCTTTGGGCAAGTGAGAGGGAGACCAACAACCACCAATCTTTCGGGTAGCCCTTTTTGACGAGCTATACACATGTTAAGGTCTGCTAGAACCCCCAAGGACGGGTCTGGGGATAGGTTTCAACCCCCACGTTCTGATCGGTCCTTACCATTCCTAGTGTATTTGTTGTTTTATTTCCTCGCGGTGGGTTTTAGAACAGACATGTTAGTTCGCTTGGACCAAGCGTGCTTAAACAAGGTTGCAGCTCACAAAGCTTTTCCCTCACAATGTGAGCAAGCGCATGAGCAAAGACATTTTTGAACAATGTGTATCCCAGGGACACCGCGAGTTGGCGGTTTGGATTCCGGGCTCCAAACCACCAACTACTTGTTGGTGCTCAGTCGGGAATGTGGTAGGGAATCTGGGAAGGAAACCAACCAGTTGGATGCTTTATAAGGGGTCATTCCATGTCTCATTCCCTACTTATCGCAGCAGCAAGAAATTAGAGGGGTCAGCTGATTAAACCGTTTCTCGCAGCACAGTCAGATTCGGGCGGATGCGGCACAAAGACCTTGAGTGGTTTGGGTTTTGCTTCATAGGGGGGCACTGGCAATTCTTGGGCGAAGGTGTGGAAAGGGTTTGGGTTGACAAAACCGAGCAGTGGTACAAGGTGATAGGACCGCTCATTTGCACGGGTCTCCCCGACCGGCAGGGCATGCCCATGTCGGAGTTTTGTTCTGAGCAGATCTTTCGTGAGCCGTTTCCTGTTTGAGTTGGCTCAAAGTTGGCTTGGTGCAACGCCTCACTTGTCCAAAGCCGAGCTTGAAAAAACCTTTTTTTTTGCAGTGGTTTGGCAAGGTCTGAACGGGTGAACCAGCCGTCCCGGGGACCATGTCCTTTGATTTTTTGCTCAGATTTGTGACTTTCGAGGCAGCATCGCATCTTCACGAGACGAACGAGGGGCGTGTCCTTTTTTTGGCTTGGTTTAAACGGAAAGCCAGCGGACGACGACCCATTCCTTTTTCTTGGGGTGGGGGGTCCGGGACGACAACAAAAAACGACGGACCCGGACCCATGGCTGGTCATCTTTCGAGCGACCTGTGGACCTTTTGGCCTTCCGCGCGCTTTCCGGAAAGCAAAGGCCCCGGAGCAGGTTGCGAACCCCGAGGCGAGATGGGGGTGGGGTGGGGCGAAACATGTGAGGGGGTTGTCAAAAGGTCGAGGGGTTGTCAAAAAGATTGGGGGGGGGGGGGGGGAAACATGTCAAAAGGTCGAGGGGTTGTTCAAAAGTGTTTTTTTTTTTTTTTGGGGGGGAGGTTTGTTGAACAAGACGGGCTTTTGCTGGGTTTTGCGGTTGGACGGATGGCACATGGTGATCAGTTCTTACCCGCCAACAAGCCAACGAGCAAAATGACGGCTTCCAATCCCCAGCCAGTTGTCGGATGGTGCCGCCGCAAGGCCGCCCACGGGGGATATCGTAGGGCCTCCTAGTATTGAGACGCCATGCACTGAAGGTGAGGTTTGGGTGGTTAAAATATGAACGTGCTTGAACATTTCCCGCGTTTTTTTTTGGCCTGGGGGTTGACCCCATCAACTTCCATGTGGCCTGGGTGTTTTTGGAGAGTGCCCCTGTCCGAAGGAAGGCAATTCGGTGACCTTCCTACGCCCCGTCACTGGTTCAACACAATACTTTATCAGGGCTCCTGAAAATAATTTCATTTTGCAACCATTTGAAACATGTTGCGTTTTCCACCAAGATACAGGGAAACCACCATTGACAAGGCAATGTTCAGGTGTATAATGCATCCGGATCCCTGTTTATCCGCGCAATGTTGGGTTGAACTCCGCGCAATGTTGGGTTGAAGTCCGTGTTGGGCTTCATATCAGGTTTTTTTGGAGGCCAGGATTTGCCATCGGGTTGAACACGTACGCCGCTGCAAACAAACGCACAGCAATGACTTTGTGAGCCTGGCCAAACTTTGCCCTCGGAACTCACCGGGTAGCTGAGTGGAGGCTGGGGAACCGAATCCCAACAGCGAACTGTGGCCGGAAGATTTCCGCTTTACGCGCGCCACGGGCCGCCATTTTGGTCCGGTTCAGAAAGGGGTCCGCAATTGACGTGTGTTATGCGAGTCAGGTTTGCCTTTGAGAACGTTTTTTTTTTTTTTAAACAGAGAGGGACATTTCTGCCCCGCGCTATGAGGGTGGATGTTTTCTTGGCCAGTGGAGATGGTTGCTCCATAGCAGTCTCACCGGAGACGCTCATCAGAGAGCTGAAGACTTCAGCGGAGCAGCATTTCCAGCGCCGCTTGAAGCTCATTGCGAACGGCCGGCAGCTCGATTTGACGGCAACGCTGGGTGAGGCCACGCTGCAAGACGGGCACGTGGTGGCTGCGGTTGTGCAGTTGGGCCAACTGGCTGCCACCTTCAAGGCCTTCGCTTGGCATGGCCCCGAGGGCGAAGTTGTGACCTGGGGTGATCCAGGCTATGGCGGAGACAGCAGCCGGGTGCAAGAGCAGCTGAGAAACGTCCAGCACATTCAAGCAACTTACAGTGCTTTTGCAGCCATTCTTGAATCTGGGGCTGTCGTGACCTGGGGGGTTCCAGAATATGGCGGAGACAGCAGCCGGGTGCAAGAGCAGCTGAGGAACGTCCAGCACATTCAAGCAACTGACCGTGCTTTTGCAGCCATTCTTGAATCTGGGGCTGTCGTGACCTGGGGCGATTCAGACTGGGGCGGAGACAGCAGCCGGGTGCAAGAGCAGCTGAGAAACGTCCAGCACATTCAAGCAACTTACAGTGCTTTTGCAGCCATTCTTGCATCTGGGGCTGTCGTGACCTGGGGTGATCCAGGCTATGGCGGAGACAGCAGCCGGGTGCAAGAGCAGCTGAGAAGCGTCCAGCACATCCAAGCAACTTACAGTGCTTTTGCAGCCATTCTTGAATCTGGGGCTGTCGTGACCTGGGGTAATCCAAACCATGGCGGAGACAGCGGCCATGTGCAAGAGCAGCTGAGGAACGTCCGGCACATCCAAGCAACTGACCGTGCTTTTGCTGCAATTCGCGAATCTGGGGCTGTCGTGACCTGGGGTGATCCAGGCTATGGCGGAGACAGCAGCCGGGTGCAAGAGCAGCTGAGAAACGTCCAGCACATTCAAGCAACTATGCATGCCTTTGCAGCCATTCTTGAATCTGGGGCTGTTGTGACCTGGGGTACTCCAAACTATGGCGGAGACAGCGGCCATGTGCAAGAGCAGCTGAGGAACGTCCGGCACATCCAAGCAACTGACCGTGCTTTTGCTGCAATTCTCGAATCTGGGGCTGTTGTGACCTGGGGCGATTCAGACTGGGGCGGAGACAGCAGCCAGGTGCAAGAGCAGCTGAGGAACGTCCAGCGCATCCAAGCGACTCGTTTTGGTGCTTTTGCTGCAATTCTCGAATCTGGGGCTGTTGTGACCTGGGGTGCAGCAGACTGGGGCGGAGACAGTATCCGGGTGCAAGAGCGGCTGAGCAACGTCCAGGAAATCCGAGCAACCGTCGGCGGTGCCTTTTCTGCCATTCTTGAATCTGGGGCAGTTGCTACCTGGGGTAGTGCAGGCTGCTGCGGAGACCGAAGCCGTGTGCAAGAGCGGCTGACGAATGTCCAGCACATCCAAGCGACCAGCGGTGCTTTTGCTGCCATTCTGGAATCTGGGGCTGTTGTGACCTGGGGTGTTCCACAAGGTGGCGGAGACAGCAGCCGGGTGCAAGATCAGCTGAGTTTATAATTTGTTCGCGATTGTGCATGGACGGCTCAAATTTGGGGCGCTAAAAGCGGGCTGAAAGATGTGCACTCTACAGTTGGATTCTGTTTCGTATGAACCTTTACTGCAAGTTTCCTCTGTTTCCCGATCTAATAGGATTCTTTTCGAGGCCTTTTCGTATGCCGCACGTTGCTTTCTGTTGGGTTGGCTCTGTTGCGAGGCCAACGGCTCAATCCCTATGTTGTTGTGACAGCGAACAAGCCTGACACCCAGCTAGAAACCGCCTTGAAGAGGCCCTGAACCAATCTTTTTCTTATTTGAAGCCCACCCGAAACCAAGCCTAAACCAACCCTACATGGCCATGGGTCAAAATCCCACTCGTACCCCCAGTGAACATCCCAATCCCCACTAAAATTGACTAAAATGGGTGGTGCACCTACCCCAAAATGGTACCATTGGTTTTGACCCACAGCCACTCGGCAAACCTGAAACCAACCCTCAACCCATGCTGAACCCAGCGTAATCCAGCCCCAAACCCACCCCTTAGTCCAGCCCTAAACCCACCCTGAAGCCATCCTAAACCAACCTTAAACCCAGTTTAAACGGACCTAAGCAAACCCCAAGTAACAAAACCTAATCCAGCACGAAAACAAGGCCGAACCAAGGCTGAACCTACTGTTTGCATCCCAAACCAACCCACAAACACCCGAAGCGCACCCCAAACCGAAGCCTATCCCTTAAACAACAACGACCCCCCTACCTACTTTCTGATCCACTGCAAAACCACCGCTGAACCAACTCTACACCAATTTACCAACTCCAAACTAAACCAATCTCGCTTTGGCTTCAGCTCCGGAACTTCAGTCACAAAGCGTCGGGACTATAGACATACCCTCTCCGATGACTACCCCTACGCAATTTGCAACCGTGCACAAGCGGATTCGCTTGTGCGTCAGTCTTGCTTAGGGGACTTACTAGCCAGGGTTATTCACCAGAAACACCCCTAGCCAACCCGAAGCAGCACGTGAACCCACACCAAACCCTCCCTATACAAACCCGTCTCAATCAATCATTACTTTAACACAACTCAGCCAACCGGAACGGATGTAGTTTTTGCGGATGTTTTTGGGTTCTCTCCACGGCAAAATCATTGAAACATCGTCCGGTCTTCGCATAGCATTGCGGTCTTAGCTAATACGGCCCCAGAAAAGGCTTCGAATCAGGAACCGCATCAATCGCGAATCCAATCGAAATCCAATCGTAATATTTTCGTGTCGTGTTTTCATACGCCCGCTTAGGGCTGGTTAGGCAAGCCAAAAGGAAGACCGTGGCGCTTTTTGTTTCTTCTGTGTGTGTGTGATGTTTGTGTGTGTGTGGAGCGAATCCTACAAAAACCCTGACTTAGTGTTTCGCGCGTTGGACGCCATCAGTGTTGGACGCAAGGGATCCGTCTTGGAGCGGTTCTGGAACAACACAGAGAATCACAAAACAAGTACAGCACACAATGAAGCACCGTTTGAACAAGCCTGGCAGATTCCACTCTTCATCCAACAAAAAGCCGCGCCAAAAAAACCAACTCGCGATCCTTGCTGAAGGGATCCGTCTTTCCAACCGAAGTCTGGAGGCGGCAATGAAGGCACTGCTCCCGCCGGAGCCGCCAGCGCCAGCGCCGAAGGCAGGCGAGCGGTGGATTGTTTTTGGTCAAAGGAAGCGGAACCCCCAGAATGGCTGCGGTTTCCTTTTATGGTTTCCCTTAAAAATAAATACTCCAAAAAGGGTAACCCTCAAAAAGAGACTTGCACTTTTCTGGCATTTGACATGGTCAAAAACGGACCGGACCCAAACATGGTGAAGTGAGGGTCTCGATCGGACCCCTTTTGGAATGGCTGGAAAAAATCAAAAGATGCAGCGGCCGCAGTCCTTGGACTCGCCTTCAGAGAGCTTGGCTTGGCAAGTCCACCTGTGGATTCCCCAGCCGAAGTGCGAAAAAACGCGTGCGAAAGGAGTGCAATGGAGGAATCCAGAGTTGTGCGACAATTTAGGTCCTTATATTTCCCTTGAATACAGGTCCTTAATATTTCCATTGCGTGATGTGAAACATGACATGCAAATGTGTGGAGTTTCCTTGTGACTTGAGCTGGAGGGCTGAGCAGTTCTGTTCGTGCTATTTTTTGCATATGGGTGTGGGTCAAAAAAAAGGGTACCCAAAATGGCACCCTGGTAAATGGGAAGCAATGACTAAGAGCTGTGGTCCAGTTCCCGGCGCTTTTTCATTTTGCCCCATACCCATATTCTGGCGGAGCTGACATTGGAGAGCCGGGCGCCTCTTGGGTCGCTTGGCAGCCTGTTCGAGCCAGCGCAAAGTAGGTGTTCCAACTGGCTGGGGCTGAGTGCGCAAAGTGGTTGCCAGGAACTTGAGTTCTCAAGCGGGGGGAGGCCTCAGGGCCGGAGGGGCTGGATGAGTTGGGAGCCGCTTTTGGTGGTGATCCCACCGCTTTTGGTGAGAACGCATGCCAACGCATAGCAGCTTGTGGTTGAAGAGCCATGAGCTGGTGGATTTGAAAGGGAACCACAAGAAAACGGCGATTTTGTCGGATGTGAGCTCCCACTTCACACGCGGACGTGCTGGCAGGCGCTGCCGGTCAAGGCGAAGGCCAGTTCCGGCCGGGCTGTGGCTGAGTTACATGGGTGTTATTTGGTTTGGATTTTTGGGGAGAATGATACTGTCTAGCTCACCCAGTAGTGCCCTTTTACCTCTTTTTGGGGGAGGCTTCCCCTATTAATAAATTGACTACAGAAAAAAGGGTACCCTTATTCTAACCTCTCTACTGGAGGACCTAGCTGTGGGTGGACGGAATCCTGCACGCCAGCGATTGACTCCTACCCCAATTTGCTAGGCATTTCCGAAATGCCTCCTTTCCTGACCATATACAAAGTATGCTTCAGCTTGGAGCCATGACAAACAGAAGATCCCAATAAGAGCCTTTATAGGACTCCGAACCCTCCAGCGTGCTTTAGTCGTGGTTGTGGAACCTCGGATTTTAGATGGCCAGTTTCTGTGATAGTTACCAAGGTGATAGACTAGTTATGGGGACTGCTCATTTTTGGTATCACAGAACGGCATACACTAATTTGAGAGTAGATGGCTCAACCCCCAATCGCAAAAAGCGGTACAAGGCACATCGGGTCGAAGTGTCGTTTTTAGATAGTAGATGGCACAAGTCTTTCTGGCAACTGGAACGGAGCCATCTACTCTCAAATCAGAGTATTTTCCAATACCATGTGTTTGAGTCCATTCAGGACGAGGCACCAGCAGTCATCGACGACGACGATGACGACGATGTGTGGTCCTCGACTGGGCAGAGTGTTTCCGGACCGCCGTACAGATGGAATGTCTTTTAGGAGTGACCCTTTTCACCTTGCTCGGAAGGGTCAATAATTTTTCATCTATAGTTGTTCACTTTTGCGGGGACACCAATCTGCACCGATTTGTGGCGAGCCCTAGAAGAGCACGAAACGTGAGGTGTTAACTCCTTGAGGCTTCAGCCCGAACCGTGCAGTTGGCGAGAGATCATAACATGGGTGTGTCTTGTGTTGAGGGTCCCCCCTTTTGAGTGGTTTCAAAGCAAAAGAGAAGCCGTGGCTCGCCATTTTGGGTGGTCCGAATCCCTAAAAAGAAATACCTGGAGTCTCCATGACCCTTTAAAAATGGGTCCATCATCCCATTATTTTGGGTAATGACCCCATTTTTAAAGGGTCATGGAGACTCCAGGTACCCAAATCATTGTTTGTTTGCTGCCCCCTTGGGAGCAACCCATACTCACTGAATCTCTCCTTTTTCCCGGACAGAACGAGGGTTCTGGCCCCGGACCGGCTAGAAGGATTAGGTAGCGCATGGATCGGTGTGGTTTGAAATAGGAGACCCCCTCAAAATGACATTGAGGGCTCCGAAAAGGGCTCGCTGTTCTTATGGGGCTTCATGTTTTTTGTTTGTTTTCCGGCCAGAGGAAAATCGAAGGGACACCACCATGTTTTGGGGCTCCGAAACCTAAAAAAGGACGAGCCACCCATATATGTCACAACCCAAGTCCGAATTTTCAATTCTCCAAGGGTTTGGTTACAGGAACGTCGAGGAAATTGCCCCAGAAACGCCTTCAATAAGCTGTTTTCCTGTAGAATTTCTTTTTTGTGTTTTGATCCCTTTGAATAATTCCCAAAGTAGCTTTTCTACAGAACAGGGGACCCTGGTAGTGCGCTTTTTGCGCGTTTTCAGGCTCGCAGTTTTCTCATGGGTCAGCAATGTCAGTTGCACTTGATCTAACACGTGCAGAGGAAACATCTTGAGAAAACAAGAAAAGACAAAAAAACTCGAGGAACACCCAAAAAAACAAAAAACCTCGAGAAAACCAAAAAGCAAAAAACCTCGAGAAAACCAAAAAAGAAACAAAAAAACATGGTTTAGAAACTCTTTGGAACACAACCCATGTTGAACGAGTTTCTAAACCAGGTTTTTTTGGTTTTCTCGAGTTTTTTTGGGGGTTTTCGAGGTTTTTTTCTTTTTTTCTTTTTTTTTAATAATTTTTATTTTTTTTTCTCCTTTTTTTTCCGGTTTTTCTCGTTTTTTTTTGGTTTTCTCGAGTTTTTTTTTGGGTTTTCTCGAGGTTTTTTTGTTTTTTTGGTTTTCCTCGAGTTTTGTCATTTGTTCTTGTTTTTTGTTTTTCTTGAGTGTTTTTGGAGTATTCTATGTATATGATGGGCCCTCCTCTGTTCTTGGCTGTTGTGTATGGTTTATTCAGTTACACTTCTCTCGTGAGCAGCGCAGGCGATTTCTCATGTCATGAGTCCTATTTCAATTCAACTTCACCATAAGAACTCTAATTAAATCCTCTTGAACATCCAAATAAGTGTAGGAAGTCTATTTAAACTAACTAGAAGAAACAACCAGCTTGTCTATCCTTACCAGATTCTATTAAAAGTATAATTAAAGTCTAATCAAAAGCCTAGATACTTGGAAGTTAATGCTTGTCTTTCCTTACTAGATTCTAGTTAAAGTATGTTTAAATTCCAATTAAGTTTCGGACAGGAGTTCCTATTTAGACTTGGAAGGATTTTTTGTCTAAATTACAATTCAAAATATGAATTATAGTTCAACTCTGATAATTGAATTCATATGTGCAAATATAAATTCCTATTTAACATCGGAATTATAGTAAGAGTTCTAATTAAAGTCTATTTGAAATCCTACTTGGAAGGGAAGTACTATTTAAAGTCTAAATCAAATGAACCTTTGAAGTGAATTCTAATCAAATCCCGTTTAAACTTAAAGCCTTGCAATTTAAAACTTGCAAACCAAGTGGAAAATGTGTGTTTTCCATCGGTTTTCACCTGTTTTTCACTCCTCCTGAGGGGCTTGCAAATTAGAAGAAACAACAAGCTTGTTTCTACTTATTATATTCTATTTAAATCCCAATTAAAATCCTACTTGGAAAGGAACCCCTATGTTAATTCTAATTCAATACAATATTTTACATTGAATTCTAATTGAAATATGATTTACAATTAAAGCGTGGCAAATTAAAGCTTGTGAACCATTAGAACTGAAATTGCATGTTCCTTGCGGTTCTATTGTTGTTTCACTCCTTTTCAGAGGCAGGCAAATTAGCAGAAACAACAAACTTGTCTTTCCATACTGGAATCTATTTAAATTCAACTGTAATGCCAAACAGGAATGAAAGAAAGATGCTAAGACAATTGCAGCTACTCTGGCTTGAATGAGCAGCAGCAATTAGCAGCATGTTACAAAAAACGAAGAAAGTAGAGGACCTTGAGTGATTCAGAAATCGCAGTTGCAAACACTCTTCAGCAAAAGCAATCGTACAACTTGCTCAAGATATCAAACCCCAAAATCACAAAAAAAGTGCACTACCACAGTCCCCAGTCTCGCTTTTCTAGGGGTACCTTCCGCTTTCTTTCCAGGGATCCTTCTTTCTAGAAAACCTCCGGAATCGGGACACCAGGGTTTTTGAAAGGACCGATGGTTGAAAAGAATGGACATGGAATGAGCCCCCCACCCCACCCCACCCACCCCCCCCCCCCACCCCCCCACCCCCCGCCTAGAGCTTTTGTGAATCCAGGTCCTTGGGTGAATTTGTTTCTCACTCGAGGCTGTCGCAGTGGTCGGGACGGTTCCACCCCCGGCGCCCGCGCCGGGTGCCAAAGCTGCAGGCAGGTTTTTGGGTAAGGTGCATGGAAAAAAGCAGCAACCGGCGATCCAGGCAAAGAGAAAGAAAACCAAGCCAAGTCTCTACAGGAACTGGTTTACCAAGGTTCCACCAAAGGAACCACTTGTGTTTGTGGGGGTTCCGGCGTTCCTGAAGTTTAAAGACAAACTCATACGGCTGTGAATCTTAACCGCTCCCGGACCCTGTGGTCAGAATTCGGATTGGGGAATTGAAGCCCCAAGTCTCACCAAACCATCCAAACTTCAAGAGGTGAGCTGAAGGAAACCATTCCAAAGAGGAAACCAAGAGGAAGCCCCGATTTTTCAAACCAAGAAGGAAACCAAGGGAGAACGAAGAGGACACCGGGCCGGAAGGCCAGTCACAGCTCAGCTTTTCCAAGTGCTTTTCCGTGCAGGCAAGCGTCGCAGGCGAGAGCCGGTGGGTGGCCCAAGATTGGGGTGCCGATTTTGAGCACACAAATCGGTGCTCGAATGAGAAACAGAACGAAAGCAAGTGGGTTCATTCCATGTCTCCTTCCCTAGCGATTTCGCGAGCCAGGTTGCCAAGTCCTTCGATTTTTTTCTGCTGATGTCAAGCTGAACCAATCAAGCACGTGTTTTCCTGCGAAAATGCGAGAAATCCAAAGACTTCCTTGGCCACCAGGCGGTTCCAGGCGGCTCATACCACTCAGCCTGGTAGTCTCCTGGTACCTGTTAGGAGAAGTACATGGCCATGGGTCAAAATCCAAATCGCAACTCCAGTGAATGGGACCCAATCCAACCACTAAAATAAACGAAAAGGGTGGTGTACCCACCCCAAAATGGTACCGTTGGTTTTGACCCACAGCCATATGGCCCCGTTTTTGTGGGAGGTCCCCTACCAAAGAGACACCCAAATCTTGGTCCATCGTTCAGCGAGAACGAAAAGGGAAAGCGCACCCAGAAACTTAAAACAAGCACCTTCTTGTGACCTCCTTTGCATTGACGCCTTTTGGACTTGTTGCCTTGGTTTTCCATGAATTGCCCTTTCAACCAGCAAACGGTTCGCACTCTTTGCAACAGATCTTTGACTCTGGTCAAGTTTGGAGGTCCAAACGATGGGACTCTTCCTTCCTTTTCGAAGCCGCGGGGCTCCGAAACACATTTTTCCTGAAGAATGCGCGCAGAGGCAAAGGCCCGAAAGCGCACTGGATTCCTCCCGGAGTTAGGCCTTTTTTGAGGCTCGGTACTCCGGTTTGGTGGCTTTGGGAATGCAAAAGGAAATAAGCACAATTTCGGGGGGTCCGCAAAAACACACACACACACACACCCAACTGGTCCCAAAAGCAGTCACCAAATGACAGCCCTGTGTCCTACCAGGTTTTGAAGCTGGTTCTGAACGGGTGAAGCGGGTCCAGTCCGGGCCAGCAAACACGCCTTCTTGACCGATCTGGTCAGGAGATTCCAAGCTTGCCACTAAACGGAGCAGGGATGACGTTCTTGGTGCCGGGGTTTGTGTTGCCACATGATCAACTGGCAATACTCTTGGTAATCTCTTGTGAGGAGGACATGGCAGCTCGTTTAGTCAAAGAACCAGGTGGAGCGCCGATGGGGGCCTATGGCTAGTCGACAGTCATCATGAGGCATGCGTTTGCCGTGCGTCGTTCTGGGCCGGACCAAGGTGGAGGTCAATGATGACGAGGAGGAACAGGAGAAGAGGAGGAAGGAGAAGGAGAAGAAGGCAAAGGAGAAGAAGGAGAAGGCAGAGAGGGAGAAGGAGAGAAAAGAGAGGGAGGCTAAGGAGAAGGAGGAGAAGGCGGGGAGAAGGGCGAACATCGCTGAAACAGCAAGAACTTTTTGCAAGCACATGATTTTGTTATACCAGATGTACTTGTATATTTTCTCTTCGTGTTTTTTTTTCTTACTCCTCCTGTTGCCCCCCTCCATCATTCTGACGGAGGCTCCTGCAAAAGTGTGATGGACTTGGGAAGTGAGCCAGGTGACTTTTTTTTTTGGCCCCCACCTTTTTTGCCTTTTCTTGTCCAGGGGAAAGGTGGGGATGGGACTTTCAAAGATCGCCTCAGATTTTCTGATCTTTTTTGGGTAAGATCTCACGTTTTTTTTTTAAAGGTAAGATCTCACGTTTTGTGTTTTTTTCGGGAAGATCTCACATTTTGCTTGTTTTCTCCCTAGGTATCAGGGGATGGCTCCAGCTCAACTGGATGGCTCATCGAACCCCCCCGAGAGAAGGCGGCTGCCGAGCGCGAGCGCGGCGAGCCGTCCAGCGAGTTGCCCGGCGAATCGTCCGGTTCCTCGGGTCAGTCGTTGTTTAGCTGGTGAAAGGCAGCTGGATTTCTATTTCACCCACCAGTCTTTGCAAACTTTTAGGGGAGACTGACCAGCCAGTGAATCTTGTTTGCCCTAACCCCCCCCTCCCCAGAAGCCCCATTTTTTAAAATAAATTTATTCGCATTTTTTGGTTCACAGGGGGTAATTGAAGGGTCAACGAGCCGTGTTTGGGTTCAGCTTTGCCCCCGATGGAAACCCCACTCCAAAGCCTCCAAAGCTACCAAAGCATCGGGCGAGTTCTTTGGGCAGAGAGCCAGCGCCCAACTGTGGCAACTTTGGGCAGCAAAGCGGTCCTTTTGGTTGGTTTGGTTGCAAACAAAGGCGATCCCGATCGGTTTGCCCGTTTTTTTTTTTTTTTTCCTTCCCCCCCCCCCCCCCCCCCCCCCCCCCCCCTTTTTTTTTCTCCAGAGAAATCCACCTATAATTCCAAAAAGGGCACCTATGTTTGGGAGTTGAAGACGTCAGAGTTGGACAAGACATTTGCTACCCTGAAAAAAGAGGCAGTTTGAAGAGAAATTCCAAGTGAAGTGGGGAAAACAGGACTGGGTCGCCGAGCCTCTTTTCATGCGCAAAACACCGTGGGGTGTCCTTTGGTTTTCCAACTGGGTTGGATTTTGATCTGGAAGCACCTCAAAAGCGGTTGGTGGACATGAACACCTTCCGACTATTGGGGTGTGAATTTTAATTCGGGACCCAAACTGGTGGAGTATGTCCCCAATGATTTGTGAGGTGGTTTCAACTCTTGAAATTCACAGCAACACAAACAACTCACGAGGCGTTGTTTGAGATTTGGTGTATTGGTGTACTCTTCACCAAGAAAAGTCACTTTTGGGCCCCCAACCTCCAAACCACCGATTGGGCTCCAAACCACCCAAAAGGAGGGAAGCTGATATGGCTGCGGGTCAAGAATATGTGCCCCAAATGGAACCCTGGTAAGTGGAAACAACCAAAACCTGGTCCCCTGGTTTGATTTTGACCCATACCCATATACCCTGGAAAGATTCGTTTGGCGTGCCCAAACGGAACGTAGTCTGTTAAACGGAACCACGGCTCGCCGACTCGCCCGAGGCTTGGCCTGCCGCAGGCAATGTTTCTGGGGGGGGGGTGTCGAAGCGAGGAAAGGGTCCGGTCGTGTTTTTACGGACCATACCTAGGTCCCCAGCTAGGCGCCCTTTCTCACCTGTCTTTTGGTTTTGAGGGTTCCCCTAAAATAGACTACAGAAAAAGTTGGTACACTTATTCTAACCTCTACTGGAGGATCTAGTATTTTATACATATATACATATATGTCTGTTTTTGTAGTCGCAACCTATAGACTGGATGGGTTGCAAATCCACATGGGTTTAGGGTGGGCCTAGCCGATTTGATTGATCCTACTCGCCGACGTCGTTCTCTACGACCTGGGGCCGATTTCCACACGGCGAGAGACTCGCAGCTCGCCGATGCCCGCGGCAGATTAGTTGGTGCATTTTGCCAAGGGATGTTAGGACTTGAGACCTTTTTCCATCTCATGGATTGGTTTTTCGTATACCACTCAAAGTTAGTCACTTTTAGCAGGGGAGCAGACTTTGGGTCGACACGAGAGAGCCAGAATTTGAGCCTGTCGCTTGCGTCAATGCGCAGCAAATCTTCAATGTTCGAGGACGTCAAGGTTGTGAAGGTCAAAGCACACCGTGATCCGTCATGTTTCAGTAACCCCTTGGAAAAACGGACAGCTATTCACAACAACCATGCCGACACTTGTGCTAAACCTCTGTGAAAATAGCAACCTTTACCAAGAACTCCAAGGGATGGTTTTGCTCAACAGCAAGCGGTAAGAGATCTGGGTGAATTTTCACGACCTCACACGACCTCATTCACCTCAAATGGTGGTTTATGTGGGAAATAGCCCCCCAACCACTTTATTTCAGGTTGGCAAAGTATTATAATTCACCCAGAGAGATGGTTTTGCATGCCTTAGCTGAGTCGCAGAGGTCCCAGCGCCAGCCCAGAACTCAAAACTTGATTGATCCGCACTTCTTGCGGATTAGGGTTGTGGGATCAAGGGGTTTCTCCAACCACTTCTGTGATACTTTTGGCAATCCCCCTTTATATGAACAAAATAGTCTTTGGGAAGCTTTTTTGTGTTGTATCACAGAAGTGGTCATTCCCCACAGCCCTGCTGCGGATGCACAATGCGTCTATTTTGAAGCAAGCGCCCTCAACCACGCACCCAAATGGAAGCCCGCCAGCAAAATCAGGGTTGCTCCAACCACGCTTTGCTTTTTTTTCCCTTCTCGGGGCGACCTGTTTCCCAGCCTCTTCCTAGGTCTGGGGAGCAATGGTTGTGGGTCAAAAATATGTACCCAAAATGGCACCCTGGTAAATGTGGTACATGGAAACCTGCGGGTTTTGTGGTGGGTTTATTTTGACCCGCACCCAATGAAGGACACCAGCGGCCATTTTGAGCTCGTCAGGGTTTCGACGCCAGTCAGCACAGGTCGAGTGGTTGACCCCGTGGGTTTTGGATCCGCGAGAAATTTCCCAACTTGTGATGTCAAGCATCGCCTTGTCATGGTTGTTGTTGGGAAACATGTTGTAAATTTTTGATTATTGTGGTTTAGTAGGGAATCCTCACTTAACTGCTAACCTTTTCAAGTTTTTGCTCCCCTTCCAACGCTGACCAAGTTGTGGCGCCAACATGATTCTTTGGAGGACGGGGGCGAATCTGGGGAAACCCGAGTTTTCACCTGGGCGCAGCCAAAAAGGTACCTGACACCAGACACGGTCCGAAACGGGTATGATTTTGGCGACGGAATGTTTCGGGCTTCAATGTCGGAGGCTCCTTCTGAAAGCTTTGTGTGGAAAAAGAGAACTGCAAAGAACCCTGGTTTTCGGGGAAGAACATGGGGCTTTTCCTGGGCTGTTCAAAGGCAATCCTTAATCCTTAACTTGAGGTGCGAATTTGGTCCCCTTTGTAGTAATTTCCCAATAGTGATTAAGGAGTGGGATTGACCAGCACTCCATTTTGAACAGGCCAGTTTTCCCCCAAAATGGGAAGCCCCTCCGTTTATCTCCGTTTCAGAGCCGTGTTTGGAAGGGATCCACAAGTGAGACGGATATGCGGGGCTTTGCGCTTTTGCGTGGCGCTTGCTCGTCAACGCAGGTCTTTTGTGAAGAGGTAGCTCTTTCAAGACAGAGGGTGTGTCAGGTGCTATTTTGCGCGGTGTTTGCTTGTAGACGCGGGTTCTTTTGGATGCGCTTCGAACATTGGCAGTATATTATATATGTGTTTTCTAAATGCATTGGTTCCACGCATCTGGGTTTCATCCTTGCGCAAAAGCCAACTGCACTCCCAGTGACTCTTTGGAGAGGCGGGCTGTTTGCTAGATGAAAACTACTCCAATCCATGTCGAGATTGACGGTGGTTAGTACTGCAAAAGGAACCGAACATTTTTACGGTTATGAGGACCCCTTGTTTAGGAACAATCGCTGTGATTGTTGAAATTGGGCCCCCGCATGGCCTCCAGCCAGCAAAAGGATGAAACGGTGACAGGAATGCAGACTCAGCAGGGAATGAGGGAAGGATCCCTATAAACCATCCCTTGTGGTTTCCTTTAAGGGGACCCCAGGTTCATTCCCTCATTCCCTGAGCCCGGGGCGGGGGGCTGCGGCGGGGGGGGGATCCCTTTTTTAAGGGTTCGGCTACGCTGGCTTCGCCGATCCGGCAAGATCAGTGTGGCCAGATCCCCTGGCACAAGCATAAACGCTGCATAAATGCTGAACAAAAGACACAACTTATAAAGAAAACGACAAAGAAATGAAAATCTTGGTGGTGTGCGAAGAGACCTACCGGTGGTGTGCGAAGCGTTTTTTTTTTGGTGGAAAAATTGGGGCCCCGGCCCTCGCTTGGTAAAGCCTGATTAAATTCACCCCCCGGAGAATCGGTCAAAATGATTGGGGAATTCTAAGTTTTGTTTTTTGTTTTTTAAAGGCCAGCCATAGGGGGGATTTCGGGGCACCAGCAAGTAAAAGTGAACTTTGAGGGTTTATTCCGACTGACGTGCCCTAATGCAGCAAGAGATACTGTCGGGACTCCAGTGTTTGGCCACCACTTGGATCTGAAAATGGCGATGTGTCAAAATATAACAGAGCCAATAGACTCTTCATCCCTAGAATGTTGGCTGTCCTTTGGGGGAACTGCCATCGACAAAAACACAAACCCGATTGGCTGGTCCAAGTTTTTGACGCCAAAAGAAGGAGTTGCGATGAGGTGTGTTGGCTGACTCTTACATGCCATCGAAGCTACGTAGCCGTTTCAGTGAAGAATCAGCCAGTGGAAAACTTACCAGTCATATCCGCAACTCTGGATTGATCCCCGTGTTTCTGGGCCCACTTGAAGGATACGTCAGGTAGCAAGCATGGCTATCAACTACTTGCCGTGGTTGTGAGTCCACCAAGTGTAAACTCATCATGAATTAACTATCCTTCCCCCTTCAGCTTTGCCTTCCAGAGGCTCGTCGCACTGCCAACACGGCGCAGGCTGGGTGGGTGGATGGGTTGGTTGGTGGGTTGGCTAGTCGAAAGGTTGTTTGGTTGGTTGGTTGGTTGGTTGGTTGGTTGGCTGGCTGGCTGGCTGGCTGGCTGGCTGGCTGCTTGGTGGGTGGCAACCGTCTATATGCTCGAGTAAACCCCCAGTCAGCTCCACTGCAACCACTATTGTGACTACCAGGTACCATCCATTGGCAGCGTCGTCAACCACCTACCCCGAACCCCAACCCAACCCTCACCCAACCCACCGACCAACCAACCCAACTCACGACCACTTAGCTAACTGCAAGACCATCTAAGCATCATCAATCATATGTAAGTTGCTTGAGGCGAATGCGGTTTATGAATCATCCCTTGCAAACAATCGTTTCAAGAAATCCCCTGGTTTCCCAAAACCCCTCAACCCATTTCCTTCGGAGGAAAAAAAAAGAGCAATTATTTCTTCCTTCCTTCCTTCCTTGCTTGCTTGCTTGCTTGCTTGCTTGCTGGCTGGCTGGCTGGCTGGCTGGCTGGCTGGCTGGCTTGCTTGCTTGCTTGCTTGCTTGCTTGCTTTTTGGTTTGTGTGTCCTGTCCTGTCCTGTCCTGTCCTGCCCTGCCCTGCCCTGTCCTGTCCTGTCCTGTCCTGTCCTGTCCTGTCCTGCCCTGTCCTGTCCTCTCCTGTCCTGTCCTGTCCTGGCCTGTCCTGTCCTGTCCTGTCCTGTCCTGTCCTGTCCTGTCCTGTCCTTCCTGTCTGTCTGTCTGTCTGTCTGTTTGCCTGTCTGTCTGCTAGTGAGTTACTTTGTTACTTAGTCCTTCCTTTGTTTCTGCTAACGGCGTCCACACCGGACCCGTCGTTTGTGGCGTTTGTTGCACTTTCTCAGCACTGCATATATGCCAGGCACATGGGAAGCGCACCCGCTCAACAGCACCCGCTCAGCACTGTATATATGCCAGGCACATGGTAAGCACACCCGCTCAACAGCACAACAGCACCCGCTCAGCACTGCAGACATACCGCTCAAAAGCTCCCTCCCAGCACTACCATGCCAGGCAAATGGTAAGCACACCCGCTCAAGAGCACCCGCTCAGCACTGCACATATGCCAGGCACATGGTAAGCGCACCCGCTCAAGAGCACCCGCTCAGCACTGTAGACGTCCCAGGCAAATGGTAAGCACACCCGCTCAACAGCTCCCTCTCAGCACTGTATCCATGCCAGGCGTATGGTAAGCACACCTGCTCTAGAGCAGCCGCTCGCACCGCATAAATGCCAGGCACACGGAAAGCACACCCGCTCAAGAGCACCCGCGCAGCACTGTATACATGCTACGCGCATGGGAAGCACACCCGCTCAAGAGCACCCGCTCAGCACTGTGTACATGCAGGCACCCGGAAAGCGCACCCGTTCATGCCAGGGACATGGTATGCACACCCGCTTGAGAGATTGTTGTTAGTGGATTTTGACACACTTGCGCTGTGACTGTTGAGCATGAAGGGCGGGCAGACGGGCAGAGTGAACGCGCAGGGGTATAAAAAAGAAGAGCGAGTTCTGTACGCGACAAAGTTTGCTTGAAGCACACTGTAAACAACAGGAAACGGACTTGGAGTTTGTGGCAAACCAGTATTTTTGAAGGCATTGTTTATGATGGTCCCGGACAAAACTTAGTAAACCGAGCGGTTTTCGAAAGGCGCCCAGCGGCGTAGCTATCATGTTGCGCGGGGCCGTTGCCGTGACCTTGTTTCTTCAACCCTTCCATGGCTCTGGGGGCGACCTCCCCGAGGTGGGCGTGGCGGCGGCGGCGGCCCTGGGCTTCGACGTGCTGCCGAAGCAGTCCAGCTTCACGCCCGGCCCGCAGCTTCTTCTCTAGGTCCCCCAGCTAGGTGCGCGACCTACTAAAATAGACTACAGAAATTAAAGCGCCGGATACCCCCCCAGTGAATGGTTCTCTGGTGGCCAATGCGATAAACACATGGAAAGCCTTTGCGAGCCGCGAGGAGGTGAGTGAGTGAGTGAGTGAGTGAGTGAGTGAGTGAGTGAGTGAGTGAGTGAGTGAGTGAGTGAGTGAGTGAGTGAGTGAGTGAGTGAGTGAGTGAGTGAGTGAGTGAGTGAGTGAGTGAGTGAGTGAGTGAGTGAGTGAGTGAGTGAGTGAGTGAGTGAGTGAGTGAGTGAGTGAGTGAGTGAGTGAGTGAGTGAGTGAGTGAGTGAGTGAGTGAGTGAGTGAGTGAGTGAGTGAGTGAGTGAGTGAGTGAGTGAGTGAGTGAGTGAGTGAGTGAGTGAGTGAGTGAGTGAGTGAGTGAGCGAGCGAGGGAGGGAGGGAGGGAGGGAGGGAGGGAGCGAAGCGAGCGAGTGAGTGAGTGAGTGAGTGAGTGAGTGTGGGTGAGTGTGAGCGAGTGTGTGTGAGTGTGAGTGAGTGTGTGTGTGAGTGTGTGTGAGTGTGTGTGAGTGTGTGTGAGTGTGAGTGAGTAAGTGAGTGAGTGGGTGAGTTGAAAGTGAGTTGAGTGTGAGTGAGCGTGAGTGAGTGAGTGAGTGAGTGAGTATGTGAGTGAGTGAGTGAGTGAGCGAGGGAGGGAGGGAGGGAGGGAGGGAGGGAGGGAGCGAAGCGAGCGAGTGAGTGAGTGAGTGTGAGTGTGAGTGTGGGTGTGAGTGTGAGTGTGCGTGTGAGTGTGAGTGTGAGTGTGAGTGTGAGTGTGAGTGAGTGAGTGAGTGAGTGAGTGAGTGAGTGAGTGAGTGAGTGATTGAGTGATTGAGTGTGGCGAGTGTGAGTGTGAGTGTGAGTGTGAGTGTGAGTGTGAGTGTGAGTGTGAGTGTGAGTGTGAGTGTGTGTGAGTGAGTGTGAGTGAGTGTGAGCGAGTGTGAGTGTGTGTGTGTGAGTGTGAGTAAGTGAGAGAGAGAGAGAGAGAGAGTGAGTGAGTGAGTGAGTGAGTGAGTGAGCGAGCGAGCGAGCGAGCGAGTGAGTGAGTGAGTGAGTGAGTGAGTGAGTGAGTGTGGGTGAGTGTGAGCGAGTGTGAGTGAGTGTGTGTGTGAGAGTGTGGGTGAGTGTGTGTGAGTGTGAGTGAGTAAGTGAGTGAGTGGGTGAGTTGAGTGTGAGTGAGCGTGAGTGAGTGAGTGAGTGAGTAAGTGAGTGAGTGAGTGTGAGTGTGAGTGTGAGTGTGAGTGTGAGTGTGAGTGTGCGCGTGAGTGTGGGTGTGAGTGTGAGTGTGAGTGAGTGAGTGTGAGTGAGTGTGAGCGAGTGTGAGTGTGTGTGTGTGTGTGAGTGTGAGTAAGTGAGAGAGTGAGAGCGAGGGAGTGAGTGAGTGAGTGAGTGAGTGAGTGAGTGAGTGAGTGAGTGAGTGAGTGAGTGAGTGAGTGTGAGTGAATGAGTGAGTGTGAGTGAGTGAGTGAGAGTGAGTGAGTGAGTGAGAGTGAGTGAGTGAGTGAGTGAGTGAGTGAGTGAGTGAGTGAGCGAGTGAGTGAGAGAGTGAGTGAGCGAGTGAGTGAGTGAGTGAGTGAGTGAGCGATCGAGTGAGTGAGCGAGGGCGGAAGGAGGCGGGAGGAGGAGGCGGCCGGACGACGAGCTTTAAAAGTACCCCACACAATGATGTGGGGAAAAGGGTTCCCGTATTCCATCCTCTCTCCTAAGGGGTTGTTTGGGCCAGGGCTTTGGGTGGCTCGGGTCGCTCTCGCTATCGCTGCGAGGGAGCCCTCTGCGGACTTTGGGTGTCTCGGATCGCTCTCGCTGTGGCGCGGTGTGAATTTTGAACATCGCTGCAAGGGAGCCCTCTGCAAACTTTGGGTGGCTCGGAGCGCTCTCGCTGTGGGACGGTGTGAATTGTGAACATCGTTGCAAGGGAGCCCTCTGCAGGCGTTGGGTGGCTCGGATCGCTCTCGCTGTGGCGCGGTGCGAATTTTGAACAACGCTGCAAGGGAGCCCTCTGCGGACTTCGGGCGGCTCGGATGTTTCTCGCTATGGCGTGGTGCGAGTTTTGAACATCGCGGCGTGGGAGCCTTCTGCGGACTTCGGGCGGTTCTGATGGCTCTCGCTGTGACGCGGTGCGAATTTTTAACGTTGAGCGGGAACCGTGAACTCTGGCGGGCTTTGGGTGGCTCGCATCGCTCTGGCTGTGGCACGGTGTAAATTACACACCGAAGTGCAGGACCTGCAAAGATTCTCTTGCAAGAGCTCTTCTGCACCCTGACAGAGAATTTCAAGATATAGATGTAGAGGATCCTCTCATTGGTCCTGCGCGCAAATCTTGCCAACAGAGCCTATCAAGGGATCCTACCCCAAGATCCTGCTCACAGGTCTTGCCAAGAGATCCTATCAAGAGATCTCGTGCAGAGATCCTGTTAAAAAAACCAGTCTTACGCAGGACCTGCGAAGATTGCCTTTCAAGAGGGCTTGTACAGGCATCACCTCTTGTATGCTTAATTAAGATAGCATTCACTTTTCTATTTTATGTCTTGGGAGCTTGGGGCCTCTTGCCGGTGAAGTTTTTTGAAAAGACGGAGATGGGCGACCCGTCTTTTTGGAGTTGGTTTGTTGACGGGAAGTCAGAAGGACATCCACTTTTAAAGGTCCGAATCCTAAAAAAAGCTTCATTCCCTACACAACAGTTTAGACGGTTTACCTGGCCAATCCACCCAGGAACCGCGATGTATCCTTACTTTTTCATTTGAAGTTGAAAGGGAACCAAAGGGTTAAACACTTCTTGTTTAAACAGTTTGGTGACTTCGGGTTCTGTTTTTTGATGCTTGCCTTGCACATTTTATGTGAGTGACTTCTTCGGTGTTTATAGGATATGTCATGATATTGCATGTTGGTTTGCAACCACTTTATCCTGTTTTTTGCTCTTCTAGTAAGAGCATTGTATGTTTGATTGTCTCATCTGGAACAAACGGTTTTGTTTGAGCAAAGGCCTGGCACACAAACTTTGGACGCGACTTAACTGAAGATTGGATGTTCAACCCGGAATCATCCGTAAGGGAAGGCATTGCCGAAAGAAAACACAGGCAACTGGACAAAATCCCTCCACTGGTTAGAATTGGTGGTCTATTTCAGGGTGTTATCCCTGGTGCGTTTTGCGTTTCTCCCATAGATAATAGACACCATTTCATTTTGTGGTTTGGATTGTTGGTTTGGATTACTCCTGGCTTTTGCGGAGGGCAAATGGGAACCACCCGAAACACCCGAAGCACCAAATCACCATTCGGAGTAGGGTTGGTGGGAAATAGCGTGCACAGCTGTTTGTCACATCTGTCAGAGGCCGGGGCTCACGTGATTTTGTGTCCCAGAAGTCTGTCTTTGCCTAGCTGGGAACTGAGTTCAAGACCATTCCTTCAAGACCATTCCTGCCAAAAAACGGGGGGGGGGGGGGGATCCTCGGAAGACGAGACACCCATGGCGAGAACCCCTTGATTTGAATGCATGTTTTGTGTCTCATATTCGTGTTGGACATCTTGAATGCACTCAGAAGAAACCTTCTGCGCCATGAAGGTGGATGTTCACTTGCCCAGTGGAGATGGTTGCTCCGTAGAGGTCTCACCAGAGATGCCCGTCAGCGAGCTGAAGGCAGCAGCGCAGCAGCATTTCCAGCGCCGCTTGAGGCTCAACACAGCGAAGGGCCGGCAGCTCGATTTGACGGCCACGCTGAGCGAGACTGGGTTGCGAGATGGGGAGGTGGTGATTGCGTTTGTGGAGCTAGGCAAATTGGCTGCCACTTATCAGGCGTTCGCTTGGCATGGCCCCGGAGGTGAGGTTGTGACCTGGGGTGATCCAGAAGCAGGCGGAGACAGCAGGCAGGTGCAAGGGCAGCTAAGGAACGTTCAGCAGGTCCAAGCAACTTGCAGTGCTTTTGGCTGCCCTTCTTAGACTGGGGCGGAGACAGCAGCCAGGTGCAAGAGCAGCTGAGAAATGTCCAGCGCATCGAAGCAGGTGTAGTTGCATTTGTTGCCATTGTTGAGTCTGGGGCTGTCGTGACTTGGGGTCATGCAGACACGGGCGGAAACAGCAGCCAGGTGCAAGAGCAGCTGAGGAATGTCCAGTTTGTCCAATCAACTAGAGGCCTGATTGGTGGTGCTCTTGCTGCCATTCTTGAATCTGGCGCAGTTGTGACCTGGGGTCCGGCATATGGCGGAGACAGCAGCCAGGCGCAGGAGCAGCTGAGGAACGTCAAGAACATCCAAGCAACTTTCAGTGCTTTCGCTGCCAGTCTTGAATCTAGGCGTGTTGTGACCTGGGGTAATTCAGAATATGGCGGAGACAGCAGCCAAGTGCAAGAGCAACTGAGGAACGTTACGCGCATCCAGGCAGCTGGCACGGCTTTTGCTGCCATACTTGAATCTGGGGCTGTTGTGACCTGGGGTGATCCACACTTCGGCGGAGACAGCAGCCAGGTGCAAGAGCAGCTGAGGAACGTCCGGCACGTCCAAGCAACTACCAATGCTTTTGCTGCAATTCTCGAATCTGGGGCTGTTGTGACCTGGGGAAATCCAGCTGGGGCGGAGACAGCAGCCAGGTGCAAGAACAGTTGAGAAACGTCCAGCGCATCCAAGCAACTGACCGTGCTTTTGCTGCAATTCTCGAATCTGGGGCTGTTGTGACCTGGGGCGATCCAGACTGGGGCGGAGACAGCAGCCAGGTGCAAGAGCAGCTGAGCTTGTAGTTTGGTGCTTGTGTAAGATGGAGAGCATGAATATTGGGTGTCAAAAGCGTGCTCGGCACCACACACAACCACAACACAGACGCACAAGACTACGTCACAAAACAGGGCAACTACGTCACAAGACTACGTCACACAAGACTACGTGTAAAAAGTAAGGATCCATGCAAAACAAGCCAACCAACCCAGCCTGCTTCCCTCTCCCAGCCCATCCAAACAACAGCTCACCGGCCTCGGGTCCAGAAGCTTATCATGATGTTGCTCACATGCATTGCGGAGGGAAATCTCAAAGACGCAGGAAATCGCCTTCCTGGTTTCAAGGTGGTTTGCAGGAACTTCCAGGTTTCAACTTGAGTGTGTTCAAGAAGTTAACTGCAGTTCCTTTGTTTGTTTCATTGCCTTCCTGGGTGTTCTTTGTGGTTCACCCCATTTGAGTATTTTGACAGCTGGATCATTTCCCGGGGTGTTTGGTGACCATTCTAGATCCTATGTGTTTTTTTCTCCGAACAATGTTGCATTCTGTCTGATTTTTAGACCGTTCCTTTCTGCTCCTCGTATTCGCATCACGGCTTCAAGAAATCCAGCTTACAACAAGCAAAGTCCAAGTCCGATGCTCCGCCTTTCTCCTCTTAGACGCCAAGTGAGCCACAATCAAAACCCGGGGTAGATGAAGGGTAGTAAGGGGCAGTCCCAGCCAGAAATAGTTGCGGATATCCGCCTTCTTAATTCTTGAAGCATGGTTCTGGGATTAGGACCATTTTACTACCGGGTTTTGATTGTGGCTCAAGCGGCCATGGGCCAAAATCCCGTACCAAAATCTAGTGAACGGGACCCAATCCAACCACTAAAATAGGTTCTAAAATGGGTGGTGAATTCACCTACCCAAAAATGGGATTCCGTTGGTTTTGACCCACAGCCATATGGGGGTACATTGGGGGCTGTGTAAACGTTCAGAAGCACGCTGGTAGAACCAGGGTCCGAAAACATCGGGAGGCAAGGTACCAAAATGGGTTCCCTAAAAGGACCCCCCCCCTCTACGGAAGGGTCCAAGTACTTAGGAACTTGGACCCATTTTAACCCACCGAACATCCTCAAAGTCTGGGGATTAGTGGTTGGATTTGAGCCCCAGGACCTTTTTTCACGGCTTTCCGAGCCATGTCCCTTCGTGGAACCTCCCACTTTTGTCCATTCTCAACGGACATTGGCGGTCAATATTTTGTCGTTTTGTTATTCGATGTCCCAGGTACTTTCGGCATGTTCCATCTTTTTTTTGTGCGTGTGTCTGTGCGTGTGTCTGTGTGTGTGTGTGTGTGTGTGTGTGGGTGCGTGTGTGCGTGTGTGCGTGTGTGCGTGTGTGCGTGTGTTTGCGTGTGTGCGTGTGTCTTGTTTGGGTGTTTCTCTAGCTTTTTTTCTCCGCACTGCTTTTTCTCTCCCTCTCCCTATCTCTTCTATCTTTGTGTGTTTTTTCATTGTAAACGCTTCACGTTGCCCGCCTCGGCCAGTCCGCTTTTGGCTGGCTTTGAGGTAGAAAGTGTGCTTTGGTTTGCCTGAAGTGTTGGTGATTAAAGTGAGTGAGTCGGCGCCGAAATGCGTGAGCTGGTTTCTAAGCTAGAGTGGGTGCATGTCCGCGCTACAGAATGGTGGACCAAGCGCAGTCCAAATTTCTAGTTTCTAGGGGGATTTGACGGGAGTTGGACCGGTTTTCAGAGGGGATTTGACAGGTTTGTAGCAGGGAGTTTTTTAGGGGGGATTTGATTGGTTTCTGGGGGGATTTGATTGGTTTCTGAAGGAGAATTTGACCGTTTTTTTTTTGGAATTTGCCGGTTTCTAGAGGGATTCGATTAGAGTTGCACCAGCTTTGAGAGGAGGAAGGTGGGCGGTTTCTAGCGGGATTTGACCGGAGCTGGATGGGAAGTTAACCGTTTCTATCTGCTTCTAGATTGGACAGGCTTTTGCTGGAGAATCTGCTGAAGTCGAAGGGATGTGACCTCCCAACCCGGTGCCGGCTGCTTCCAGGCTTGCTTCAGGCGGACTGGAGGCAGCTGGAGCAGGGATTTTGGCCGCGCGACATGGGGTTGGGGGGGGGGGTTGGAAACTAGTTTAGGACTGAAGTCTGACTTCCCGCCTGGGATCCGAGGCGAATGTATAATAGATACAATAAACACGTCTCTTTTTGTGTTAATTTCCTTTTCTGGGACAAGCGATGAATCAGCACACAAGTTTTCCCCTTTCTTTGTGTATTGTTGTTTTTTTTGTGGAGCAAGCAAAGAAATAAACAGCCACCGGGCTTTTGTTTCTCATCTTTGGTGTGCCTTGGTGCGAGGTTCCGGGGCTGTCGGGGAAAGTTCCCGGTGTTTGTTTGTTTCTTGTTTTGAACTGCCAGCAATAAACGGAACGACAACAATAGATGAACACCATTTTGTGTTTTGTGTTTTTGTCTGTCTGTCCGTCAGTGGGTCAGTCTGTCTGTCTATCCGTTTTTCTGTCTGTTCGTCTGTTTGCTTGTTTGTCTGTTTGTTTGTTTGTTTGTTTGCTTGTTTGCTTGCTTGCTTGCTTGCTTGCTTGCTTGTTTGTTTGTTTGTCTGGCTGTCTGTCTGTCTGTCTGTCCTGTTCTGTTCTGTTCTGTTCTGTTCTGCTCTGTTCTGTTCTGTTCTGTTCTGTTCTGTTCTGTTCTGTTCTGCCGCATCAGCAACACTCAGCACAGGACAAATCTTTGTTGCGGGGTAAAGTGCAACTCACATGATCCGATTTTTGGGCTGCGAGAAGCAGCGAAGCAGCGCACAGCCAACGCAAAATTCTCGCTTGGCCACAAGAGTTATGACAAGCCAATGCACCCCACGGCGGTCCCATGTTTTTTTCTTCTTAAAAAATGGTAATAAAAACAAGTAAGAACAAACACAAAATATAAAAAAAAATAAATAAATAAGAAACAAACACAACACATATTGCTAATCTTCTCAGGCAAAGCACCGGAGCATCAGCACCACTGGGCTCGAGATCTACCAACATCCTGGATGGAGGTTCCTACCCTTTGAGGTTTTGGATGCGCGGTCACTGGACGACGGACACCTGCCGCGAACAAAATAAGACTCCGAAGCCGGGCGCGGATTTTTTGTTTTATTATTTCCTTGGGAAAGCTGGGATCCGCGGTCAGGTGGGTTCGTGGATGGGAGGGTAACCAAAGTATTGGGGGTTCAGATGCGGCCCAAACTTTGACTTCGGACCAAGCGACCGAGGCTTTTGGGTGACGCTAAGTTCAAGGATTCCAGGCCTCAAATTCCTTTACTTTCGCTGAGGCCAATTGGCCATGTGGGTGGCTCGTCCGGTTTTTTTGGATTCGGAGCCCCCAAAATGGATTTGGCTTTCCTTGTGCTTCCCCTTGAAAGCCAAAAAAAGGTACCAAAAACAAGAGACAGACCCAATGGGAGCCCCGGATCTTAGACCCCCCACCTTTTTGGGGAAGTTCAATTTTTACTACTGTTTTGGGGGGGACATTTCATGTTTTCCCAATTTGTTTTTGGGAAGTTCATCTTTCCCCAACAGCTGAAAGCTTTGGGGTCTCAGCCAGATAGGCTCCGGGGTGGTCCGGGGCGACCCAGGGTTCCACAAGGGTTCTGCGGGGCTGCGGGGTGGTGCGAGCACCAAAAAGAGCGCCGCATGCTGGGGATATCACCTGGGCTTATTCCCGCCCTTCCCCCTTTTTTGTTGGTTTTTTGTTTCGGGAAGTTCGAATCTTTCCCGCTTGCTTGCCCCCCACGTTTTGGCGCGTTCGTCTGAGGTCCAACGCGCCGGCGCCAGGGTTGCGACCCTCGGTGAACCCGCCGGGAGCGCCCAGCGAAGCTGCCACCGGCTTTTGGCCCTGGGGCTCGTTGGCGTTCTTTGGGGCGCTCCGGTGGGCGGCGACAGGTCTTTTGAGGGAGCTCACTTCCTGAGTTGATGGACTTTAAACTTTTTGGAAAAACCATTTTAGTGGTAAATAAAAAGTTCAGACTTTTTTTGGCCAGTCAACTTGGGAAGTGATGAGACCTGTTTGGTTGGTGGAAAGGAAAGAGGAGAACCGAAGCCACTTGGGGGGTCCCAAAAACCTGACACGCCCATGTGGGTGTTTCTCCAAATCGGAGCAGCTCAAGGATCTTTGGTGTCCTTTTGGTTTCCTTTTAGATACCAAAGGAAAGGGGGGTCCACCATTTTGAGAGACTCCGATATCTTGCTGAGAAGGGGTTGAAAAAGCAGGGCTTTTTAGGGCAACATTTTTGTTTTTGGCGAATCTTTCTGTTTGGGTTCCTTCTCGGCCTGAAAGCAGTGACCGAAGAGCAGTAGACAATTGGCATGCGTTTTGGTTTCCTCTGCCACGGCCAACATTCCACCCTTCTGCCACGTTCCTTGCAGCAAATGTTGCTTTCAGTGGCAAGCAGGGATTGGATTCGTTCAAAAAAAGAGTTGGAGGTACTCATTCTAGGGGTTGATTCCCGTTTCTTTTCAACCATCGTTCTTTCCAAAAACCGGATCCGTTTTCCCTGGGTTTCCGGAGGTTTTCTAGAAAGATTCGGATCCCTGGAAAGAATGGACCTAGACTCACAGATTTGCTTGGGAGAAACAAGTCTTGGCAACCCCCAACAGGTGATCGCCAAGTCTGTGTTGCCCTGGCTTGGGGTTTCAGGAGTCCTGTTGGAGACGCTCCGCCGCCCTTTTTTTGGGCGGGAAGGGTGGTGCCGAAACAAGAATTTGCTGTTTCGAGGCGAACCAACTCAGCTTCCCCTTGATGTTGCTGTATGTTTCTAGTAGATCAGTAGAGGACAGGGAGGAAGGCCCGTCATAAGCTTCGCACATGGAAGCGCAGTTGTGGCCTGTTCATTTCCCGGAACATCTCCGAATGTGGTGCGTACTTTACCTATCGGTTGGCATGTTAGAGGGTCCCATGTGGGTTCAAGAGCGGGCTCAAGTTCAAATCCAAGCCACCAATCCAAGCCACCAATGCAAGCCAGCACCGCCATTTCAGGGTTTCACGCGCAAGACACATGTCGAACTTCGACCAAACCCTGTTTCGCTGAGTTTCCAGGCATGTTTTTTTGTTACAAGTCATACTCACTTCCGGGGGCCACGTTTCCCGCAATCTCCGTGGCCCAAAGGTCCCGTGAGGCCATCGATCATCGCCCCATCGCCCCATCGCCCCAACGCCCCGCACAGAGGGCCGCCGCCGCCGCGGCGGCGGGCGCGAATCCCCAGGGCCACCGCGTCTGTGTGCAGTACCTCTGCCAGGGGCTCCCAGTCGATTTGGCTCGCGGGACCGAAGGGATGGGCGGCGAGGTTGGGATATGATGGAGGCTTGGGGCATTGGAGTTTTGCCGCCTCCTTGGTTTCGGGTATGTTTTTTTTTTTTATTGGAGTCGGCAAAATTGAGTGTAAGTGTCCGCCTGGGGGTGTGGGGGGATCGCAAACGGTGGCAGAACAGAGGTTTTGACGAACCCACGGCCATGTTGGACCCCGCCCCAAAGCCAGGGAGGAGGGGGGGCTGGCTTCCCGTTTTATTAAGCTATAGTTGACCGTTATTTGACCAATGAACCACTTAAGGGGGCAGGGTGCTTCGTAGTATCCCGTGCGGTGGACTTAGAACCATGGTATGTAGGTTTTAGCACCATGGCTACTAAACACTTGCTAACTGTCCAGCCCCTTCAAGTAGGGGTTCGTACCATGCATGTAGGTATATATATATATATATAGGATCCCTTCATTCAGCCTTTGACAACCGAAGTCCCGGTTTGATCCACTCCCCGTGGATACGGGCACGTGCGAAAAAAAGGGGCGGGGGGCCAGAACGGCGGTTTTCCTTGTGGTTTCCCGTTCAAATGAACCCCCAAACCGGGCACACGTCCACACACCCACACACACACACACACACACATCTTCCCTGGTTTTCTTGCCCTTTTTTCCTGGGTATCTTCCCTCGTAAGGGTAAAGAAGCAGCCCTTCGTAGCAAAGCAGGTGACTCCCCGGATCTTCTCGCAGGTTTGCTTAGGATTTGGCTTCCAGAGGCGAGAAGTCGAGACTTCTCGGCGTTGGGTTGCTAGGTTCCCGAGCTAGGTGCCCTTTTACAAACCTTTTTTGGGGGAGGGTTCCCCTACTAAAATAAACTACAGAGAAAAGGGTACCAACTTATTCTAACCTCTCCACTGGAGGACCTAGGTTGCCTTAGGGGAACTCCGAAAGGCCGCCAGAGATCCAAATTCGATGGATGGGGGGTTGCCAGAGCTGAGTGGAAGCCCCGGATGAACTGATCCGGGGGTTTTTCTAGTTGCTGGGAATTCATTTTGGAGGGGCCTTCACACCCTAAACCCTAAACCCTAAACCCTACGGTTGGTTCATCAGGAGTCAACATTCGATTGGTGAAGGGTTTCCTTTGGCTTCTCTGTACCGAGACCAATTGCTTTATATTCTACGCTGATCAGGTCTTCAACCCTGCTTTGTCATTGCTGTCTCTGAGGCTGAACTTTTACTTGTTCTTTTCTGCTTGATTCCTGGAATAAAACACAAAGTCATATTGGCGGCTTGGGAATTTGGGAATTTGAGCCCCTGGCTCTTCCAAACCAGCGGGCTCCAAAAATCCACCGAACCTCCAAACCACCAATAGCCACTGATTGGGGGGCAGGGGGAAGCTGAAAAGTCACAAGTCCACTGGGAACGGACGCAGTACCCGTCTCGAGGAAGAATTGGAGCGGCAGATGGGCGTGCCCTCTTTTTTTGAGGCTCAAGGTGCGGCTTGGTACCTGGTACCCTGCTGGGGGTTCTTAAGTGAAGCCTGAAGGACACATGTTTCCATAAAAAGGGGGGGGGGGGTCACGAAGTCACTATGTTTAGACCCAGTCAATTTTGGCCAGTCGTTTCCAGGATTTGGCCCAAAGAAACTGACTCTTTTGGAATGGGGTTCCTCATTCCCAGGCCTCTTTTGGAATGGGGTTCCCCATAGGCGAGTGCCATTTGGCTGTGGGATCCCAAAACGGCCCCTTGGCACAACCCGCGGTTGGCCGGTCTTGAAGAACTTTGAGCCCCATCTGTGAGTTGCGATTTGGCCGGCTTTTCAAAACCCAGAGATCGGTTAACCCGTGAACATGAACCAATCCAGCCACTAAAATAGGAAACCTAAGATGGGTGGTGAATTCACCCATCCCCCAAAATGGGATCCCAAAATACCTGGACTCAACCTAAGGACCCTTACTAAAAATAGGTCCATGACCAACCAAGACTTCGGGTACTGAAGCAAAACCATTTTTGAAGGTACCTTTGACGTTTTGGGGTCGCTGCCGTGGGTAGCTGACCCTTGAAGCTTCCACGGTTTGCAGCCCATGGGATCAAAAAAGCAATTGACGCTGAGGCTTCACGCGCTGCGACAAGGGCAGCTCCTGCCCCGAGGTCGGTCAGCCGGCTCGCGCCGAAACCGCTCAGCTCGCGCGAAGCGGTCAACGGACGTTTTTTTTGGTTTTTGTGTGGGTGGGAACCGCCGAGTTGCCAGGGTTTTTCCTTTCCCTATTTTGGGTTTTTGATGGAAGACCCAAAGGAACCGCAGATGAGTTTGTTGTTTGTTAAGGGTGCCCCACGATGGGCATGAAGCGAAAGCCCCCCTTAATATTCGGCTGCACATCCGGCGCCAATGCAAGCTTCATGTTCGAAGCGAAGTTTCTTTTCGCAGATGGGGTTTTCCTGTGCCCATGTTGGTGGGTACTCAAAGGGAAACCGAAGCCATTTTGGGGTCCGATTGATAACGAAGAAGGCACATCCACATTTGGACATCGGAACCCCTCGGCATTGATTTCTTGGATTCGCGGGTTGGCTTGGGAAGTTTGGTATGGGTTCGTGGCGGCGGAGTTTGTCCATTTGCCGTGAAGTTGCCGCGTTTCTGTCCTTGGCCCATGTGGCTTCTGTAAAGCTTTGCCCGTGCCGGCGCCCGTCAGCAAAAAGCAGATGGGGAGTTTGAGCGCCGGTAGCTCAAGCCACCCTTGGACTTTGCAGGGATGGTCATTGAGCCTTTGCTGCTTTCCCCCAACAGAAGCTACGGGGTCCCTGCCCAGACAGGCGATGAGGGGTGGTTTTTTTGGCAGCTTTCGGGGGGGTTCAAAAGGAGGTTGGGTTCCAGGGAATTCCGGTACCTGGGCTTCGCTTTTTTCGAGACATCCGATATGTGCCGTGGGCATTTGGACCGATTCCTTGATGTGGGGCCGGCGACTGTCATCATGGACAATCATGGGAAAAAACGATTTCGACCAAGGGAACCAGCCAGCAGATCAGTAGTGTTGATCGCCGAGCTGGCCGTGACCCAACAAATTCTTAGATGTTCCCAGCATGGTCGCACCGCCAAAAGCAGGGTTGAAAAGGTAAACTTTTGATTTCTAGGTCCCAGGGGTAACTAAGATAACCCTGTAAGCCATCCCCTGTATAAACAATCCCCATTGGAATGACCCGAACTGAACCATCCAACTGGTGATTGGGAAACAGAGTTCTTCCCCTTTCGGAATGACCAAAGTTGATCACTGAAAAATGGAAACTCTTTTGACCAACAGAAGTGAGGCAGGCGGGGGGGGGGGGGGGTTCTCCTGCTCCTTTAGGCCACCCCAAAAGAGGGTAGCCTTAAAAAGCAGAGCCATTTCACTTGGCGGTTCCCAGTTCCTTCGGTTCCTTAGGTTCGTTGGGTTTAGCGGTTGGGTTTCCATTTCACCCGCCAAAAGTTGAAAACTTTCAGCAGGGGATCTGAAAACTGACAGGCCAGTTCAATTTAGGGGCGACGGTTCAATGAAACCATTGACGCGCGCTTTGGCAGAGCGCGGATGGGAGGCTTATCTTGTTTTAAGGCTACCCGCTTTAGAGCTTTTGAGGTAACTAAGCCCATTTTGGTGTTTGGGTCCGAGTCCGATTTTGAGACAGTGGTTAGTAACCCTCAGTCAACTTCTGGTGTTTGCCAAAAGCAGCTTAAGCTTGGCCCTTGCAACGAACGCTTCTGGAACTCCTATTTTCAGACAAGGCTTAGTAACCCTTGTTCAACCCCTGGTGTTTGCTTCAAACTTGCAACCAACGCCTTTGCAACTTGTCACAAGCCACCCTGGTGTTTAATCCTTCGATGCGCATTCATGGGGGCTGCGGGGGAGGGAGGGGGGGGGGGAGCCCAAACAAGCCCTTAGTAAGCCCTTAATGAGCCTTATTGAGGGCTTATTTGGGCTCCCTCCCCCTCCCCTCCCTCCCCCCAGCCCCCATGACGCATGGACCTGCCAATTCTGCAGGCGCACATCATGGACCCCGAAGAGGAGATGCCGGGTGCTCAGCCGGCGCTTGCGCAAACCCGCCGACCGCTGAAGCGGTGGGTTTTTGGGCGTGGAAAAGCCGCATTTGGCGCGGGTTTCGAGTCCAATGAGCGAAGAGTTGTTTGGTTTTCTGCGGGAACTCGGGCCAAGTTCCACCCCCCCCAAAAAGAACAAGAGGATTTCCTGCAGAGTATCGTGTAGCGGCTTTCGTGTATCGTGCAGGGTGGCTCCGAACCGTGAGAAGATGATCCTTAAGCACAAGACGGTCGAAAGGTTGGCCTGCTGCTTTCCTTGACTCCTGCTATTGGGTTGGATCTTCAGACTTTTAACCATATTGGATTCCCCTTTTATTTCAACTTTTAACCAGCAAGCAGTTAACAACTTTTTGCTGGGGGATCTATGCTTCGAATTGGGGGACCAACTCGAATCGGTCTTTGGAGATTTTAGCGCATTCAAGACGCTATTTGATCTTCCAGCTGCTTGAGACATGTTCCCCTGTTGGTCTTAAAGGGCAACAAAAAGAAAAGAAAACAGTACGGCACATGTTTTTTCTCATTTTGGAAGTCAACGGATTTGAGAAAAAATGGTCGGTTGCATCAACCCCAGCTTCCCAGTGCACAGGCGAGTGGAGCCTGCAAAGGTATCAAAGGTTGTGTCAAGTCAAAACACGACACGCCCAACTGGTTGCCCTTTCCTTCCCCGACGTCATGTTTTTTCCTACAGGTTGAGCTTGGCCCAAAGGTTTTCTTTAGCTTCCCAAGTGGGCATCTCCGCTTGTCTTTTGTGCATCCGGTTTGCCCGAGGCGCGTGCGCGCCAAGTTCAAGCTGCAGGAATGCAACCAGGGCGCGGGCTGCACGCGCCGGGGGCTTTGGCTTTGGCCGCCGGCCGGCGGGTGATGCAGCCGGCGGTTTTTGCGGTTTTGCCCACCGCTGTTTCCATGGGTCCATGGGGAACACCATGGGTGGACATAAAGCCAGGGGGGATGAAAGTAGACTTCGAGTACCTCCCCCATTCTTTCCAGGGGATCCTTCGACCCCCGAAAACCTCCAGAAGTCCGTGGAAAAAGGCTGGTTTTCGAAAAGAACGATGGTTGAGAAGAATGGCGAAACAACCCCTAGAAGACAGACTGAGTTCCCTTTATGTGGACAAGTAAAAGGGATGGCCAAACCAGAGGGAGAATTGTGTCATCTACTTTCACAGCTTGGAACTGCAAGACACGAACCCCCCACAGGGAGATTCCTCTACGGGTCATGGTTTTGTTGGGGACCATTTTCAGCCCCCCATCTTTGCCTTGGCAGGTGGTGGGAAAGCAGCAACCTAGCTAGTGGTTGGGAGGGAGCCGTTCCGGAGCCGGAGGTGTCCAAAACAAATGCTTTTCAAGAGGGAGCGGTTTTTGCGGAGGTGCCGGTTAGGGACAGCCGAAGCATCAAAACCAAGACTGAAGCTGACAGTGGGTTGCTTCCTGGTTTCCCCACAAGTGGTGCTCCTTCTCCTGGAGTGATGATGCTTTAGGTGGTTTGGTAAAAAAGATAGATGGGGTTCCACTGGTTCGGAACCGGGTTTTCTGTCGTCCATTGTACCAGGGAAACCCATCCAAATTTGTCCAAAAGGTCACCCAGAATTTAACCTGTCATGCCACACGGGTTTGTCTCAAAATCAGTTTGGAGGCCCCTCTCACTCATAGGTGGCTTTCCTTTGGCTTACTCCCTCACAGGCAGACTCGCAGACCCAGCTTCAGGTCAGTGTAACGGGGAACAAAAAAAAAAAAACAGCTGTGACGAGTTGGGCAATCCGGCAGTTAACATGCGTCTGAATACGCATCACCGACCAGACATGTCTTTCCTTCAAGGAGATCCAGATGAAAAAAGGGAACTCGAACAGCAAGCTTCTCACCTTTTTTATTCCTTGGCCTTTTCGGGCTTTCCTTTTGGGGCTTTCCTTTTCGGGTTTTCCTTTTCGGGTCTTCTTTTCGTTTCGCTTTCCAAGAATCCCTTGGCTCGGCTCTCTTGAGCCGGACAAGTTTCGCGTTTCGTTTCGAGGCACGAGTTGCCTCTTCAGACATCCTGGCGAAAGGGTGGAGGAGGCGAGCCCCGTAGTGTGACCCATGGATTCAGCCAACCCTCGGTGGGGGCAGAGAGGGGGCCTGGAAACAAGGAACATTGGTTTCCACGACGTGGTTTGGTTTCATGTTAGTGGACAGGAGGGTACTAACTGGTAATTGTAAAAATCTCACCTCTGATGTCACTTAACAGTACTTATTGGTCATTGCTCAATGTACCACTTGATAATTTGGTGATTTCACCGCATGTCACACGGCCAAAACACACTTTTTGCCCTGGGGTTGGCAGGGGTGGTTATACCCTAGCAATTTAGACATCCATCTACATAATAATTTATGTCGAGCTCACCTGGGGGTATAGCGAGTTCACCATGTTAAAGGTCTTTACCTCGGGATCCCTTAATTTAGCTTTTGGAATTATACAACAAACGCAGAACCATGACACGGGTTCCTGTTGGAGCCATGACCCTGTCCAGGTGTCTTGACGGCAAAAAACAGGGTGCTCAAGGCGGGGATCCCCCAACGGACCTGCTAAAAGGGGACACTCGCCCATTTATCAACCAGGGGTTTAGCTTCATCCGGGGTTCACATTACCCACTCCAAATACCCACCTTCTTTTAGGGTATTTTTTGGAAAACCGGGTTTTCCGTGGTAAATACCTCCTTTTTTAGTAGAGGGTTTACATGATACCCTAAAAAAAGTTAGGGGTAGATGACTCTGGTCTTCCGGTTCCTTTGTTCGGAGGCTCACTAGCTGGGACCCTTCGAAGGTGGATCCAACCACTAAAGTAGGTTCTAAAATGGGTGGTGAATTCACCTACCCCCAAATGGTACCCATTGGTTTTGACCCACAGCCACATATCAATCAAGCAGTTGATGAATCCTACTGTGGATGGTCAACGTCCGATTCGCTTCAGTTGGGATGGATGACATGCCATGAATGGTTGAACAACTACCAATCCCAAGATGCGCGAGATTAATTTTGTCCATCCACATCCGATCCCTTAGCTTTTTAGACATCTTTTCACTTGGTGAAAGGTGGTTGGGTTTCCGAATGTATATCCGCCGCAGGCTGAAAAGCGGAGAGTTCAGCGTAGGTCCCCAAGTTCTACATTCCAGCCAAGGTTGGAGTCGTTTCAGGCGACGGTCCAAATGGATGGGTCCGTCGGACTTTCCAATCCGGCGGATTGGTTTCCCTTCACCAACAGTCGGTATCCCTCCCCCCAAAAAAAAGAGAGGTCAGACCCGAATTTTCAGAATGGTCGACTGGACGCGAGTAGCAAAAAAGAAGCGTGTTCCCTCAAGAAGCAGCCTGTCTTGTTTGAGGCGAGAGGCGCTCTTTTGTTTTCTTCACAAAGCCCCGAGGCCAACCTGGGGCAAGCCAGCAAGGCCGGGCGGCCTGCGCACTCGAGAGCAACGGGAAGCCGTCGGAACTCGAAACCGCTTTGCGACGCCGTCGGAGATTCAACCTTTGGGGAGCTCGGGAAGGACAGGGCAAGCGCTTGGGCCTCTTTTGGCCTTCCTCTTTTTTTTTGAGTGGGTTTCCCAGTTTTCAAGGGAAACCAAACAGGACGCTGGCCCATTTTGGGGGGTTTGATTCCTGGTTTAAGACACCCATTTGAGCTTTTGTTCTCCTTTGAGCAACGCTGACATTGGCATGCGCTCAACTCCGCTCACTATGTAACCTGGGCTCATGATGATCATTCAGCCCTTCATACCACACCCGCTTGTGGCAGTCGTAATTATAGCCTTGTAGTGACCATACTGTGGATGGACGAAATCCTGCACCAGGCAAAAAACGCTGAAATGATGCCTGCAAGTACCAACCAACAATGGCTTCCAACGCTTACAAAGTGGTGCAGGATTTTGTCCATCCACAGGTATGTCACCCGCTGTCCCGCTTATGGTTAAAAGCTATAACCTAGTTGCTAAGCAGGTTGAACTTCCAAGTGGTTCATGCACTTTTGTCACCAAAAAGCGACGGAATCAGATTTGTGCCAAGCTTTTCGCTTGCTTTGATCTCAAACCGACCCACTTGCAACACACATCTATCGCACCTGGATGCCCGGGAGCATATGCATCATCATCATCATCATCCTCCTCCTCGTCGTCGTCGTCGCCGTCATCTTCATCGTCATCGTGTTCGTCATCGTCATTTGCATCGTCATCGTCATCGTCATTGTCAGCGTCAGCGTCAGCGTCAGCGTCAGCGTCATCGTCATCGTCATTGTCATCGCCATCGTCACCGTCATCGTCACCGTCAGCGTCAGCGTCATCGTGATCGTGATCGTCATCGTGATAGTCATCGTCATCTGCATCGTGATCCTCATCGTTATCGTCAGCGTCAGCGTAAACGTCATCGTCAGCGTCACCGTCATCGTCATCGTCATGGTCACCGTCGTCGTCACCGTCAGCGTCAGCGTCATCGTGATCGTCATCGTCCTTATTGTCATCGTCGTCATTGTCATCGTCATCGTCACCGTCATCGTCACCGTCAGCGTCACCGTCATCGTCACCGTCAGCGTCATCGTCATAGTCAGCGTCATCGTCACCGTACCGTAATCGTCACCGTCACCGTCAGCGTCATCGTCATCGTCGTCGTCATCGCCATCGTCATCGTCACCGTCGGCGTCAGCGTCAGCGTCACCGTCACCGTCATCGTCATCGTCCTCGCATCGTCATGTTCATCACAATATTTTCATGACCCTAGACCTTGTGCAAGGCCCAACGCAGTGGCACTTCGGGTTTTATTCTAACAATGATTGGATATGCATGGGCAAAGTGGGCGGTTGCAGAACCGGATCCTATGTTGGGCCCTTTCACCTATCAGCCTACTGATCGGTGGCTTGGATTGATGGGAACTGGGACTAAGTGTCTTGCTCCTTGTTGAGGGTTTGGAAACCGCCAACCATGCCAACCAACCTCCAAGCCTCTAGTCCAAACCACCAAACACGTAACAACACATACAACTCTTTTGCAGATCAACTGGACCCCCGTGAAACAGACTTTTCTTGTTTTCGGGAACAGAGTCGACCTCCTTTCTTTCGGGAGTTTGGGGTATGTTTTGGGCTTGTTCAACTAGGCTTGCCAGTAGTGCCCTTTTTGCCCCCGTTTTTGGGGGAGGAATCCCCTACTAAAATCGACTATAGACAAAAGTTGGTACCCTTATTCTAACCTCTCCACTGGAGGACCTAGTCAAAGAATCGGACATTTACCTCCAACAAGCACTGGAAGAATCTTTTTTGGGGAAGGGCAACTCTCTGGGGTCCAACCAATTTCAGAGGCGGTTTTGGGTGCCTACGAGGGTGGACTTCCCCCCCAAAGTCTTCGGTCATGAACCTCAACAATGAGAAGTTAGATGGGTCTGTCTCAAAACCAGGGCAACCCCCATGGCTTCATTAGGTTTCCCTTATTAAAAAGAAGGCGCTCTCAACAACCAGACGCCCTCCTTTCCCTCTTTTCCAGCTCGGACCGGCCAGTTCATTTTTTTTGTTAAATCCTTTTTTCTTCTTCCAGGCGCGCTGACACGGAGCTCCGTACCTTGGCTCAGCTGACACGGTGCATTGGTGAGATGTTTGTTCATTAACATGGAGCCTGAGGTTCGGGGGGTCCCTGTAAACGGAGAATTGAGTCATCAAAACCCTTTGGTAGATGAAGGTTAGTAAGGCACAATCCCCTTGCCACAAACAGCTGCGGAATTCCGCCTTAATTCTTGAAGCATGGTAGGTCGGCCATTTTATTTCGGGTTTTGAGCAAGTGACTCAATTGTCTTCCAGGACCCCCCTGTCAGGTTCCATGTTACCTGGTGGGAGGGTAATGAGAACCCTAAATCTAAGGACTTAAAGGGGCGATCGGGTACTTAGTAAGTGGTTCGGGACTTAGAACCGTGGCTTCTGCGGGTTATAACCATGGCTGTTACCCACTTACTAAGTACAATGCCCCTTTAAGTAGCGGACACTCAAGATCAACATCAAGAAGTCCATTGATCTGGGGTCAACATCACTCGGTCACAATATTGTTCTCTGCAGGTCGGTTTGGCTGCAGCTATTGCGTAGACTTCGGGACTCACTCAGGACTCAACCTGAGCTTCTGAGGGGCTCCTTCCTTTTCTCGGTGCATTCGTCAGATATGGCTGGGCTTTAAATGGCGACACCTTTTTTGCTGACCCAACCGGAACTCCGAGTTGCGGGCTCCACGGACACCTCGTTCATGGCACCTTTTCGGGTTTGCTTAGACAGAAATGGGTGGCTCGTCTTTTTGCCGTTCTCGGATAATTTCCAACATGGCGCAACGGTGTTTCTAATTTTTGGTTTCCTAAGCCAACCAACAAATTGGGTCCCGCACAACAGGACAATTCCCAGATGGGTTCTACTGGTTTAGACCTTTACGCCATCCATTTACCAGCGAAACCGATCCATTTTGCAAAAAAAAAGTGGCTTCCGAAGGCCATCCGGTTCCTTAGCTTTTTAGCCTTCTAGTGTTTAGTGGTAGTTTCCATTTAACCCGCTAAAAGTTAGTCACTTTTAGCGGGGGATCTGAGGGCAGCCCAGTAAAGGTTCGCTATGATCTCAACGTTTTGGGCTGACGAACTGCTTGCCGCAGTTCGCCCCTTTTCTCGCCCGCTGAGCCATCAAAGCAGCTTTTGGTTCCTTGGGCTGTGGGTAGACTTGACCAACCTAGGTCCCCCTAGGTGCCCTTTCTCACTGATTTCTCACCTTGTTTTTTTTTGGGGGGGGGTAGGGTTCCCCTAGAACAGACGAAAGACAAGATTGGGTACCCTTATTCTAACCTCTCTACTGGAGGACCTAGCAAGTTTTGATTGTGGCCAAGTTTTGTTTGTGACTCAGGTATTTGTGTGTGTGTGTGTTCATTCTTTGTACGGTCCTCTTTTGGGTTGGTTTGCAAGGACCAAAGAAACACCTTCAGCCCAGTTTGAGGTCCAGATCCTTGTTTTGTCGCACACCCGACTCCGTTGTCAGAAGGCCTTCCTTGCAGAGCGTCAGGGGTGCCTGGACGGGTCGCTCGTCTTTTCTTGAGGCAAAACAAAACATTGTTTTGGTTTTTGTTCTGGAAGCCTTTGGACGGGTCCACCAAAAAAGACACACACACACACACCCCATGGTCCTCATGACCGCCCAGTCGACGAACAAGCGGTGAAAAACGAAGCCCGCCCCTGCGGCCTCAGACACCCCGATGTCTCGGCTTTTCGGCGGCTTTCAGCCTTGAAGTTGTGAGCTTTTTTCACCATCGGGGTGAGGGAACCGGGAACCGAGAACCGGGAACCGAGAACCGCTTCTCTTTGGCTCTCGTTTTTTTTTGTTTTCCCGGTAGAGTTGTTGGTTGACCCAACAAGGGTGGCTCGTCTTTTTTTAGGATGCGGACCCCCCCCCCCAAAATGGCACAACAGTGTTCAACTGTTGGTTTCCCTTTAAATCGGCAAAAAAGGGGGTGCCCAGTCAAAAAAACAGACACACCCCCTGTGTACCGTCGTTTTTTTTGGGTGAATTTTTGTTTCGGCAAATCGGTTAGCGGTTCATTTGGGAGCTAACGGAACAAACAACACTTTTCAGCTGACCTGCAAGCAGTGGCGGTGAACAGTAGAACAAAGGACGGACAGAGGTCCCTGTCACCATGAAAGTGAATAGAGCAACCAAGCCGAAATTTGTCAAGCAATTCTTCCAGGAGACGCACTCGCAAATGGAAGCCAAAGGGTAATATGATCTTCACCTGTCCCAGTTAGAACTATGCTGGTTCTCAAGCGAATGATAGAATGACCCCTATAAACCCTCACCCATGGCTTCCTTTAAGAGAACTCTTAGGTTCATTTCCCATACCCGGCAGGTCATTCCCTATCGCACCTCGCCAACTGGATGTAGGGCCAACAGCCCAAGAGGTGGGGAACAGCCCAAGAGGTGGGATGCTTCCTTTTTGTAACCTCCAAGTACCCGTCCTTTTTTTCTTTGGTCGTTTTTTTTTGAAGAGACACCGATTGGTATCTTGATCCCTTCTTTGACTTCTGAAAAGCAAAGGGTTGGCATCATACCCAACAAAAAGGTGGATGCTTGGAGTAGGGGCTTGGGTAATGACCCCATTTTTAAAGGGTCATGGAGACTGCAGGTGGATCCTTACCTTGGGCTTTGGGCACCGTACTCTCCTTTCTGTTTTGCTCATGACTCACCATCCAGCACGATCGCCTGTCTGCAAGCCTGACCCTCGCTGTTGTTGGCTTGTTTGTTAGTTGTTGTTTTTCTTGGTTCTGTTCATTTTTAGCGGGGGCTGCAAAAAGAGTCATGGGCCCACAAGGTGAACCTCTTGTTTCTGAGTCCTTTGGGCAACTGAGTGAATTGGCGTGATTTTAAAAAAGGGACTCTTTGGTGGACATCAACATTCGGCAGAAACTCATGTCCTCCAGCGGCTGAGGTGTTAGGTCTTCTATTCAAAGTCGGTACAGACTTCCGGCCTTTAGTTCTTTGGTGCCTCAGTTTCTTGTTTGGAAGCTCGAACGCATCCGGAACAACTTTTCTGCGCCATGAAGGTGGATGTTCACTTGCCCAGTGGAGATGGTTGCTCCGTAGAGGTCTCACCAGAGATGCCCGTCAGCGAGCTGAAGGCTGCAGCGCAGCAGCATTTCCGGCGCCGCTTGCAGCTCACTGTGAAAGGCCAGCAGCTCGATTCCACAGCCACGCTGCGCGAGGTCGGCTTGCGAGATGGAGAGGCCGTTGCTGCGGTTGTGCAGCGTGGCAAACTGGCTGCAACTGATGCTGCTTTCGCTTGGCATGTCCACGGGGACGAGGTTGTGACCTGGGGTTCTCCGGAATGGGGCGGAGACAGCAGCCAGGTGCAAGAGCAACTGAGGAACGTCCAGCAGGTCCAAGCAACTTGCAGTGCTTTTGCTGCCCTTCTTGAATCTGGGGCTGTTGTTACCTGGGGCGATCCAGACTGGGGCGGAGACAGCAGCCAGGTGCAAGATCAGCTGAGGAACGTCCAGCACATCCAAGCAACTAAATATGCTTTTGCTGCCATTCTTGAATCCGGGGCTGTTGTGACCTGGGGTGATCCGGAATGTGGCGGAGACAGCAGCCAGGTGCAAGAGAAGCTCAGGAACGTTCATTGCATCCAAGCAAGTGCCGGTGCTTTTGCTGCCATTCTTGAATCTGGGGCTGTTATGACCTGGGGTGCTCCAGGATACGGCAGCGACAGTAGTCAGGTGCAAGAGCAGCTGCGGAATGTGCAGCACATCCAAGCGACTACCCGTGCTTTTGCTTCCATTCTTGAATCTGGGGCTGTGGTGACCTGGGGTCGTGTAGATTACGGCGGAGACAGCAGCCAGGTGCAAGAGCAGCTGAGGAACGTTAAGCACATACAAGCAACTAATTGTGCTTTTGCAGCTATTCTTGAATCTGGTGCTGTCGTGACCTGGGGTGATCGAGACGATGGCGGAGACAGCAGCCAGGTGCAAGAGCAGCTCAGGAATGTTCAGCACATCCAAGCAACTCAGGGCGCTTTTGCTGCCATTCTTGAATCCGGGGCTGTTGTGACCTGGGGTAATCCAGGATATGGCGGCGGTGACAGCAGCCAGGTGCAAGAGCAGCTGAAGAACGTCATGCGCGTCCAAGCATCTGGCAGTGCTTTTGCGGCCATGCTTGAATCTGGGGCTGTTGTGACTTGGGGTGATCCAGAATGTGGCGGAGACAGCAGCCAGGTGCAAGAGCAGCTCAGGAATGTCCAGCACGTCCAAGCAAATCACATGGTTTTTGCAGCCATTCTTGGATCCGGGGCTGTCGTTACCTGGGGTGCTCGTCGAAAATATGGATTAGACAGCAGCCAGGTCCAAGAGCAGCTGAGGAATGTACACTGCATTCAAGCAACTGGCTGCGCTTTTGCTGCCATTCTTGCATCTGGCGCTGTTGTGACCTGGGGTGTTCCATCATGTGGCGGAGACAGCAGCCAGGTGCAAGAGCAGCTGAGCGTGCTGAAAGAAGAGAGCAACAGGTGAGCTCCACACTTGGGGTCAGCGTCTCTGTCTTTTTTTGGGCCACCATTTTCATCTTGGGCTACCTCATTTCAGGTCGACTTCTTTCAGCCGTGTTTGGGGACGTCTGTGACGAGGGTTCATGCGTTCAGCTGGAGGTTAAGGGAGGCTTGGAATTCTCGCGACAAATGCCTTGGATGCCTTGACTCTCCTCGAAAAAAGCGTCGCAGGCTTGAAGTTGACCAACTCGCTCTTTTGAGGTCTCCGCGTGGGGAACCTGCGAAATTGGGGGAAGGGGGAGAGTTCTCTTTAGCTCCCTGTCAAAGAGCCAGAAAAAGGGGTACCCAAAAAGAAATACCGGCATGCCATCCTCTCGGCTACCGGCGATGGTTTCGCCCAATGTCCCTTTAACTTCCCTTAGCAAGCCGAAACATCGACGCCAAGTCGCCCAGAAAAAAAAAACAAAAAAACAACATCGAAGCTAAACCATCGGGATGTGTTGCCGGACAAGTGTAGAATCGTCTGAAACACGAGGTTGTCACAGCTTGAGGTGAGACATCCTCAGTACGTTGCACATGTTCGGCAAGCGGTCAATGCACATATTGGCGACGCAGTCGGCACGGACTCACAAACCTGCCTCGTACCCGCTCAAGACACAATCCTACAAAGTGACCGCCCTTCAACAATCCTACAAAGTGACAGAAGGGTTTGGAAGACTACTGGCATCTGAAAACGTTCTCCAGCCCACTTGTATGCTTGTTGGTTGGAAAGAGGGCAACCCTTTTCTGGCTTCCCTGTCCACTTCGACACTAAGCAACTGGCTCAAAAGAACTGACTCCCAATAACCTCCGTCCCCCCTGACAGCCAAACAACAACCCATTCGATTTTGGCTTTTTTTCCTCAGTCAGGAGGCGAGTTGGCCGACGGTGCCCCTTGAAACATGGCCATGCCGAAGAACTTCTTTTCATTTCCGTTGCGGTTCCCAGCCCTTCAAAGGAAGCAATAGATGTTGCGGAGATCCCCGATTTTCAATGTGTGCCTTTTTGGTTGGCTCACAGGGCCCAATTCCTATGCTGTACTTGCAGAGCAACTAGCTGCATGCGGAAACTTTTCGGCCTGAAGCCTCAAGCACTTTCAGTCCTCAGACTCAGAGTTTCAGCTCGCTAAATGGATTTGGACGGATCTTCCGAACTGGTAAGCAGGGTTTCTTTGGTGCGCACGGATTTCGCCCATCGTACCATGGTTGAAGATGTCTCTTTCTTTTGTAGACCACGGGGTTGCATTCTGAGGAGCGGGAAGTCTGCTGGCAGCCCTGGCGGGGCGCTAAGAGAGCCAAGCGGAGCGTTGAGGTTTCTCAAAAAATCGACCTGTGTTGGGATGGTTGGAAAAATCACAAAGAAGCGATCCATTTTTAGTGGTGTTGTTTTTTTGGGCTTGTTGGATGCCCCACTACAAAGTCAAAAAGGTGGCCTTTTTTACCAGCGTCACTGGGCAACTGGGCATTTATTGTTTGTTGAAGAGCCCATGGTTGCTTGACATAAATCCGGCTCTGTATTTCTGATGTCCACCCAAGGGTCCATGTCCCTTTGAAGCTGACGTCTGGGTAGGTTAGGGGCCAGCCCCCTTTCCAAGTGGCAAATCTTCGGATTCCCTTTTTTTTTGCAATACAGAACACCCAGCCTCTTCTGCGCCTATCCATCCGTTTGGGCCAAATCAACTTGGGATCTTTGGGGTGAGCCTCACTTTCGGGGCTTTGGCCGGGCGGGCGCTCTGAGCGGCCGCACTGGCAAGGCGTGGGGAGGGAGGGCAGAGAAAAGCAGCTCGCGGGAGTGGAGTGGTTCGGTCGGAGCTATGGGATGAATGAAGCGCGAGGTGAAACCTGGTTGATACGCCGCCTAGCTGGTGCAGAGTGAATTTTTTGAGACCATGACCAGGATCGTTCGTTGGTTTGCGCGCGGTAGAAGGTCCTGGCAGAGGGACTGGTATGCAGGAACTAAGAACCCCCTCCTTCCACCCTAAGAAAACAAACATCTATGCGGGGGGTAGGTACGTTACCGGGGGCGGGTAGTTGAGAGCCCCATTTGGGTTCCTTAGGGTTCCCCCCCTTCCTCTCTATTTGGATGTATGAATCCTATGGTTGTTAAGCCCCTCCCGCGATGGGGTCTGGGACATTTTTGCGAAGGCGATCGCTTGGGCTGTTCGTGGTGGGTGCCTGTTTTGGGGGTCCACTCTTGCGACATGGGGCAAGTGGACACCATGGATCTGGGCTTCCCGTGCACCGGTGGAACTTCTTCACGGGAGATGACACTGAGGCTGGTTCTGCGGTCTCCAGCGCGCCCGCGAAGAGAAGCACGCGTCAGCCACTCCACATGAAACCTGTGAGGCACAATCAAACTGGGGGATGTCCTTCAAGTTCAATGATTCTTTTGACAGAACTAGGTGCAGCACACAACGCGCTTTTGACCATTGACAGGGGTTGGGGCAGAGTCTTTAGTACCATTACTATTTGAGTGTTTCTCAATACAGGGGTCTCCTCTTTGGAGAGTTTTGAGCCTGAATTTTGTAAGAACCACCCAGAATTTGTCACAGGCGCCCTCTGTCAGGTTGCATTTGGCGCGGGAACCGCGCGCCGAGTTTTCTTCGCGCGACAGCGGTTGGCTCGGAACAAAGTCGTGCGTGGGCTCTGGAGGGACGGTCCGTGGGCTGGGCAGGGTTTCGCATATATTTCCCGCAGTTGGGCAGTTTGAGATCTCATCCTTTGCCCTCCTGACGAGGAGTTTCTTTTCTTCTTTTTTTTTTTTGGGGGGGGGGGCAGAGTTCTAACCCGTAGTTGAAATGTAGGGAACAGGGAGTGTCAATTGAAATGGTCGGAACTCCGAATTCATACACCCATGGCTGATATTCATCGGGGTGCCGGTGTTCCCTTTTTGGTGGGGATTGGGCAATGGGACTCGGACTCTACAAGTTGTTCTCCCTTGTCGTTGGATCCATCTAATGCCCAGGAAAGACCCGATCACAAAAGGCTTCGCCGGTTTCTTCCCTTTTTCAGCCCCCAAAACAGGCCACTACCAGTTTTGAGAGTTCGGACCCCCAAAATGGCAAGGCCACACCCACCAAAAAGGGTATTCTCAGTACAAGACAAACCCATCTGACCCTTTGTCTGGAGGTTTGTGCTTGCGGATGATGCATGAGCTTCAGAGCAGCCAGCAAGAGGAGAACCAGATGGTTTTTTTGCGGATGAGGGGTTCAACTACGTGGCTGATGGGTTCATGGCTTTGTGTCGCAAGAACCCTTTCAGACGTTACACCCCTTGGAGTAATCTGGGTACCCCAATTGAGAGTGAGACCATGGTCGCTTGGCTGCGAACTCTTTTTTTTCTTTTCTTTTGACGGGTCAACCCGAGAGCCAGCTGGATTACATGACAACTGTCCTCCCAGACCTCTAGTGGCAACTTGTTTTTCTCTTTTGGTATTTATTTATTTTCCTTCTTTTGGAAGGGTTTCCCTTCAAAATCAACCACTGACCAAACAAGAGAGCTCTTTTTTCCCCATGGCCACCAAAGCTGTGTCCTTGATCGAACACTCCGCCGATGCCCCGCAGACTTGCTTCTTACTCGGCGATTGGTCTGGCGCATCTTTCTGATCCAAGCTGAAGCCTTGAGAGGCGCAGAAACACACACACACACACACAGAAACACACGTCCGGACTACACACACGCACATCCGGACTGTGGGTTAGGTCTAGGCTGGTTTTTTCTTACAGACACTCAACTCAGGTTATGACTCAGGTGTCGCCTTGGCGCGTCGATCAGTTTTTCTCTGGCCCCTTGCCAAGCCCAACCCTCGTCATGGCGGCAGGCGGGTGGTTTTGTTTTCGTCGGAGCGGTGGGTTGCGGTTTCGTGTCCGGCGGGTCACTTTTCTTCCCCAGAATTAGCACCTTTTTTGGGGGGGGGCTTTTTTGAGGTTCCCTTTCTTTGCCACTAGTCAGGCAAGACATATTCTTTTTTGCTGGGATCCCAGTTCCAGCCAAGTTTTGTTGAAAGCAATGGATCGCTGAGCTGTATCTGACAGCCTCGAGGCTTCATTTCCCCCCGCCAGCAAGTAGTCTCAAGAAGGCGGCTCCGCTTCATCTCAGAAGATTCGCTTTGGGAATGGTTTAGTTTTGACGGAGTTCCTTTTATGCAGTCTTTCAAGAAAACACCAAAAGGGGCACCGCTGCACCATTTTGGAGGGTCCGAATGCTAAACAACGACGCCATGCCCGTTTGACGGTTAGGTTGAAGAGGGGCCATGAGACATGGCGGGACGCCCTTGATTTGAATGCATGTCTTTGTCTTTTTCTTCGAGAGACTCTCAGAAGAACCTTTTTGCGCCATGAAGGTGGATGTTCACTTGCCCGGTGGCGATGGTTGCTCCATAGAAGTTTCACCAGCGACGCCCGTCAGCGAGCTGAAGGCTGCAGCGCAACAGCAGCCACGCTGAGCGAGGTCGGGCTGCAAGACGGGGACGTGCTGGCTGCAGTTGTGCAGCTTGGCAAACTGGCTGCCACCAATCAAGCGGTTGTTTTTTGTGCAAGGCCACGGGGGCGAGGTTGTGACCTGGGGTGATCCCAAACATGCTGGAGACAGCAGCCAGGTGCAAGAGCAGCTGAGGAAAGTCCAGCAGATCCAAGCAACTGCCCGTGGTGCTTTTGCTGCCATTCTTGAATCTGGGGCTGTTGCGACCTGGGGTCTTTCCGCCTGGGGCGGAGACAGCAGCCAGGTGCAAGAGCAGCTGCGGAATGTGCAGCACATCCAAGCAACTACCCGTGCTTTTGCTGCCATTCTTGAATCTGGGGCTGTGGTGACCTGGGGTCGTGTAGATTACGGCGGAGACAGCAGCCAGGTGCAAGAGCAGCTGAGGAACGTTAAGCACATACAAGCAACTAATTCTGCTTTTGCTGCTATTCTTGAATCTGGGGCTGTCGTGACCTGGGGTGATCGAGACGATGGCGGAGACAGCAGCCAGGTGCAAGAGCAGCTGAGAAACGTCCAGCACATCCAAGCAAATGACGGTGCTTTTGCTGCCATTCTTGAATCTGGGGCTGTGGTGACCTGGGGCAATCCAGCATTCGGTGGAGACAGCAGCCAGGTGCAAGAGCAGCTGAGGAAAGTCCAGCAGATCCAAGCAACTGCCCGTGGTGCTTTTGCTGCCATTCTTGAATCTGGGGCTGTTGCGACCTAGGGTCTTTCCGACTGGGGCGGAGACAGCAGCCAGGTGCAAGAGCAGCTGCGGAATGTGCAGCACATCCAAGCAACTACCCGTGCTTTTGCTGCCATTCTTGAATCTGGGGCTGTGGTGACCTGGGGTCGTGTAGATTACGGCGGAGACAGCAGCCAGGTGCAAGAGCAGCTGAGGAACGTTAAGCACATACAAGCAACTAATTCTGCTTTTGCTGCTATTCTTGAATCTGGGGCTGTCGTGACCTGGGGTGATCGAGACGATGGCGGAGACAGCAGCCAGGTGCAAGAGCAACTGAGAAACGTCCAGCACATCCAAGCAACTGCCCGTGGTGCTTTTGCTGCCATTCTTGAATCTGGGGCTGTCGTGACCTGGGGCAATCCAGCATTCGGTGGAGACAGCAGCCAGGTGCAAGAGCAGCTGAAGAATGTCCATCACGTCCAAGCAAACCACGAGGGTGCTTTTTGCTGGTATTCTTAAATGTGGGACCGGTTTGACCTGGCAGCCGAGCTTGAATCTGGCAAGCTGATCAAAAAGCCATCTTGGAGTAGGGGGAATTTTGATTCGGGCAACAACCATATAGCGAGTTTCCGGACCTAGGTGCGATTTGGACTGGTCGGGCTTGCGTTGTTTGGGTGGCACTCTTTTCACCTGCATATTTGGGGTTACCAACTCGTGCGAAGTGGATTTTGCCCTCAAGAGTCAGGCAACCCCAATTGAGCCACTTGCTCAACACCCGGGTAGATGAAGGTTAGCAAAGGGACGATCCCCACCAGAAATAGCTGCAGCCGCCTTCTAGATTCTTTACATGGTTCTGGGTAGACCATTTTTGTACCGATCGGCTTTGATTGTACTCAATCGGCGGTCCAAATGGGTTGCCCTGGTAAGTGGGAACACGGACCAACACCTGCGGTTTGCCCCTCCTGTTAAATTTTGAGCCACACCCACATATTCTTCGAGGCCATCACGCACTCCCTGAGGTACGTTTCGGACTTGAGTCACGCTGTGAGCGGTGAATAAACTTGCTGGTGCTCAGCGGAATGACCCTCAGAAACCATCCCCTCTACTCCAAGAACCTTTAAACATATAGGATGCAGACGAAACCGTTTTGTTCTTTTTCCGAAACACGGGTTTTGCAGCCCAAAACCTGGTGTTACTTTAAACACACTCACACAAACCATACAACAACCATACACACCCCGTACGTTTGTATGCTGTTCAAGACAAACCGGGTTTTCTTGCGAAGAACCCGATAACTTTCTAGAACTTTTAAAATGACAGGTTCTTGGAGTAGAGGGTCCAACTGGTAGTTTTTCCTTTCTTCGGGAATCCCCACATGGTTCATTCCCGCATTCCCGGTCCGGAAGGCGTGCGGGATGCCGAGAGGAAGCTTCAGCTCCAGAACTCCATGAAGCAGCCGGCGGCTGAGACACGTGGCGCTTGGGACGAGGTTTTCGGCGCGCAGGCGCACGTAAATGCGGTCTCGCATCCGCGCATGTGGAGGGCTGGGTTTCGTGGTAGGCGCGGTACTTTGGGCAAGTTTTCGTGGGTCTTGCCCGCGCCCCAAAAAGGCAAACACGTGAGTCTCGCAAGCTCATGTAAGCAAAAACGCACTAGTGTTGCACGCGTGTGCAAGCCTTTCATCCATGCTTGATCCCATCCAGGGATGCATGGGGCGGTTGCGTCTTGCTCTGGGCCTCGTTCTTCTTCGTCATGTCGCTGGGTTTTCTGCGTGCTTTGGAAAGGAAGCGGTCACAGGGACGCTCTACGCGCGTAGTGTCACGCGTGCTTGGAAGTGAGCGGCTACAGGGACGCTCTTCGAACGTCAACGCGAAGCGACCAGACGTTCTTGCCACACGAGTCGTGGCGCACAGGTGTAGCGAAGCTCAAGTGAACGCGCGCTTTGCCTGCCATGATGAGTGACCTCAGCGCGGGCTCCGATCACGTCCGAGTGCAGAAGGCTTTAGCAGGTGCGCTTCCTATTTCGCGTGCGTGGATACACTTCTGAGCGGGTGCACTTGAGCGGGTGTTTACCTTGGATTCTGTTTGGTTTACTTGCAATATTTGGGGAATGTACTTACAGGACAAAATGGGGAAACTTCCACACCCAAAAAACCAAGACGCATCCGATGAGGCTCGGTCAAAATGACCTGCAAGCTGCATGTGACAGCGACATGGGGGAATTCACAGAATTTTACAGAGGAGCCAACTGC